TGCAATGATGTGAAAATCATCTAAATCCTATATTTATTTGAAAATAGTACAAAGGCAACAAATCAAAGGTTGAAACTAGGAAACTTTATTGCTTTTTGAAAAATATATGCCCGTTTTGAATTTGATGGCGGCAGCACGTTCCAAAAAAATTTTTACTATTCTAAACCAGCTTAGACTAACGGACCCGACCGGAACAGCAGATCGCCCACAAAACACTGCGTCATGACATCACATTCCCAAGCCTGATAGTAGGAACTGAGCAAATGGGATTTTTTGAGAACTGCCACTAATAAATAGTTCTAAACCCAGTAGGTTTTGCCGTTTATACATTTCCCTTCTGACGCTGCTGCACTATTGAATTACCAACACTGCTGCACACTGAACTGAACTCATAACCCAGCAAGCCTTGTTAAGTGAGGTAGTTAAGAGGCTTTGGCAGTAGTGAAGTACATTAGGAATAGCTGCTGTTATTATATGACAGTGTTGACGTTTAATAGCAGAGTTTCATGTGACGTCATTCCGATGTGCAGGAGTAGCTTTCCATTAACTGTAGCGTGTTCACATTTGGTCTCCTTAATGACCTCGTAATTCAGAATTCAGTGACTTTCTGTAGTTTTGTTGGTTTTGGATCATTAGTTCTTACTCTACTTGTACATACTCTGTGTAGATTTAATGGAATTAAAGTTTCAGCATCACTGGATTTGGGCAGCTAACCTAAATGCGCTTCACAAAGGCCTCACAGATGCCGAAATGTAGCTGCTGCACAAAAAAGGTGGAACAGAAAATAAGAATAAGAAGCAAATCTCAGCTCTGTGGTGAGGTGTGCAGTGATATCACCAGTACCGATCAACAAACCCAACGCTTTACCCTTCAAAATGTGCCGTTTTCCAGGTAAAAGGTGAGAGGTGAAGTAAGTTACGCTGTGACTGAGCTAATAATGTTCGCTGAGCTGCCAGACCTCCAGCATTTATTTGTCTATTTCTCTTAAATATTTTGTCATCCTGACGCTGTAGGTTTGGTTTGGATGCCTTTATTGTTGCTGTAACTATGATGCAGTGTTGTGTTCAGTTTTACCAGTTCAACCTGTGTCAGTATTATAAGGTCAAACAGACAGTCGTGGTCAACTTTTCATCGGTTCCTGTTAACACTGGTACAAATGTAAGAAACCAGTTGACTCTCCTGAAATGGGTGGTCTTGGATGTTAGCGGCCTTGGAGTAAGCAAGTTGTTTGCTATCGTATGAAGTAATCTGTTATTCGGTTAGGGCCTGTACCAAACTGCGCCTGAAGCCCTTCAGTGCTCCTCCACGTTTTGGTAACATCAAGAATGCATAGACATAGAGGACAAGAGACCTTGAGGGACCCAGACCAACATTTTTTTTTATTTTTTTTTATTACATCTACTAATTGTTACGATTTTGGGGGCGTGTGGTGTTTTTTTGTAATCACTTTCCCTCTAGGATTGGTGTCTGTAGGGTCTGATTGGATACAGCAGGGGGCGCTCCAGTTACTTAAGGGCCGTTGCGTCACTGCAGGAGGGGGAGAGGGCTGTTCCAATGGTGAAGTTTATCTTTTGTGCAATCTCATTTGCATTTGATCAGTTTAAAACTAGACTTACCGACTTCTATAAGATGGTGCCTTTAACTTGTTCAAGTTAAAAGAAATAAATGCTGATAAATGATCAGTTATTTGTAGTTGGAGGTGTCTTGGTCTGGCAGTTGGATGGCGTTGGCTTGCCTTTTTTTTATGTACGACCTTAAGTGTTCCCCTAGACATAGGAGGTCGTAACATAATTTACTTAATCTACTGTTGCTTAACATAGATAACAAGCATGATGCAGCTCAGTGATGAGGTGTGTACACAGTGATGTTACCTGCAGGGTTTTCCCCAGAGAAACACAGGCACTCATGTAGCTTAACTGTCTTGAGTAAGCACTACTAGCTGTCTTATGGCATTACTTTAACTGCAGCTCAGTACAGAAAGAAACTGTTAAATATCACTCAGTCCTCTCAGATCAATAACAATGTGCATAGAGAATAATAATAATAATAATTTTAGTGTTATGATTTACATCATAAAACTGTACAAACATGCACCTTACCCTGGGGAGGTGAGTCTAATGTCAAGTCAAGTCAAGTCAGAGTTTATTTATATGGCGCTTTTTACAACAGGTGTCGTCATAAAGCAGCTTTACGGAAAAATCCAGGTCCGAGCCCCCATGAGCGTCGCCAATGGCGACAGTGGCAAGGAAAAACTCTCTAAGAGCAAGAGGAAGGAACCTTGAGAGGAACCAAGACTCAAAAGGGGAACCCATCCTCCTCTGGTCGACACCGGATAGCAAAGTATAAAATATTAGAATACAAAACGGGGAAAAACAGATGGAGCAATAGTTAATTAGATAGTTTGAGTTTATGCAGCGGCAGCAGGAGGGTCAGTTCATGCAGGTGAGGTTTGCACAGCATTGTACAGCGTGAAGCTCCACGGTGGTCAAAACGGTGCAGATCAGCCAACAGAGATGGAGCTCTGGTGACTCTAGCAGCTCTGGTGACTCATATCAGGCAAATGTCGCTTGGGGGCTCAAAGAGAGAGAGAGAGAGAGAGAGATTAGCAGGACAGACAGGTAGTTATTGCATCTTGTCCTAAGATTTAGTGCTTGTGAATCCTGGAGAATCATTCCACGATGCTGGCAGCTCCTCAGTGTTCCAGAATTATCCATCAGGATCAAGCGGGAAGGACAGTCATCAGCTCATAGAGAAGACAGAAGGAGACAGAGCAAAAGAGAGGGAAACCATTTGTAATCACCTTTAGTGTAGTGTACCTTTAAAGCTTATTTAAGGTACACAACCGGAACGTAAGGACGTTTGAGGGTACATTTAAATTTTACTTTGAGGGACTAAAATTTACAATGTCTGTACAATTTCTTTCTGACAGTGCAGGGGCTCCTAACGTCAGTCCTGCTAACCCACATGGTCCTGATGATCCCCTAACACACCTGATTCCACTCATTAACTACTAACCGAGATCCCCATGTGATGAGAAGAAGGGAACCCTAAATAGGAAGAGCGTGAAGGAACCACTTCTGTATCTCATGCAAAACTTGTTTGATAGCGGCACGCCCAGCTCTGGGCGACGGCTGCGTCCAAAACCTCATTCTACCGTACTACACATACATATGGAGAATGTGCTGTAGATGGTTTTTAAAAGGGCTCTATATAGCACCACAAAGGGTTCTGCTATTGTTAGAATATCAAGCTTATAGCAATAGAAGAACCCTTTTTGGTGCCTTTCTAGAACCATGAACAACACATTCTCCATCAATCTGAAGAGCCATTTCACCATGCAGAGACCTTTGGTTCTTTGAGTGTTCATAGTTCTATATAGAAACATTTGCTGCCAAAGAACCCTTAAAGAACCATCATTTTTTAAGAGTGTAGATACTGAATAATAAGTATGTAATAAGCCTGGGATTTTAAGGAGTTAATTTACTATTCAAAACGACTAATTAACATACATGAGTTATATGTAATCTCATATTGAATAGTAAAATAGCTGTAAATCTAAAAAAAGAGAAGTTTCCTCTGGAGACTATTCTGCTTTGCATGCCCTCCGTGCACCTCTTACACATGAGTACACGACACACACACACACACACACACACACACACACACACACACACACACACAACTCAGTAAACAACAACTACACCAAGCACAACAACAGCAAAAACAACCACAACAAAATGTCCCTTTTAGTGGGCAGTATGGCGCGCTTTGCCTGGCCACACCCCCTCAGCTTCGTACGCAGCGCAGAGCCCACTGTATATTTAAAGCATAGATATCTGAGGCGATACGTCTGCGCGTCCGCCATGTTGGAGCGGTCAAGATTCGCTTGTGAACAGATTCACTCGTATTGAGAGACGAAGAGTCTCAGGATTAAATCAGCCACACCTTCCTTATTACTCAACCGATTTTCACCACATTTGTTTTGTTATAATCCTCAGACGTACATTAATCTGGGCTGCACGGATCTGCTCTCGGTAGCTTTGATTACTTTAATAACTGATCGTGATAATTCGCTGTCCGGACCAGCAGGAAAGTATTCAGTCTGCACCTGACGTTAAAAACCGAGTTTAGCGCGAGAAACACAATCAGACACATCAGCAAATCCATCAATGTGTGAATCACTTCTGATCTTAATACATAAATATAAAATAAACCCCCCAAAACGCAGTAAGAAGGACGAAGCTGAAGTTGGCTTCCTATTCGCCAGCTTCTTGTTCTAGTTTTCCCGTTCCACCTTAAATGGTGCAGCAGTCACTTTCTGGAGCCTGAAGCTGCCTAAGCTATTTAAGGTGGAACGGGAAAATTCGAACAAGAAACTGTCAAATAAGACTCTTACATCAGGTTCGTGTAAGAAGGTTCTAACGTTAATCTATTATGAACATCTACACGGATTAAGGAATGCTGTAACTTACCGAGCTACAAAGCTTTAACCATCACTGTAAATAAATAACTCCTGCATAAAGTTAAGACCCCCTGAATAGACTATTAAATGAAATGAGCTTCATATAAAACCAGAGGAAAAACAATCACATCAATAGGTTCTCTGTGCTTCACCAACCACACGGCCATATCTACACATAAACATAACACAAATATGAGTGTGGATCACTGCGTTCCCTCCGTTATATAATCCTATCCCACTTTCTGAGTGTAATATTCTTGAAATAGTGTAATTTTGGACAGTATCTTTCTTAACCTGCCGCTCTGTAATGGTACTGAATGCAGTCTAGCAGTGATGTTGACCTCCCCAAAATGGCGGCGCCGTTGACGTGCCTGGCTGGACCCAACGCGACATCTAGGTATGTATATCTATGATTTAAACGGGGGAAAAACTCTTTAAGTGTTTTAAGTGTCTGGCGTGTTCTGTCAGTTACGGAGGTCTCCGAGAAAGACCCTCAGCCAGTCAGACGGCTGAACGCCCTGCGCATGCGCAGAGCGCGCATCGCCTCGTAAGCACCGGCCTCGCTCAGCCGGAGAAAACAAACTGCGTGGAGAAGCAGCATGAGACCTGGGGGAGTCCGCCAGCGCTTACAACTGTTCCCAGGAGCACTGGAGTGAATTTATCAGCTGTCAGAGGTGACCGCCTTTGTATTTATACACCGACCGCACTCGCTAACGCATAAACCCGCGCGCATGTAGAATCGGTCATGTTTGATGGTGATGCTGTTGTGATTAAACGAAACTTGTCTCCAGTCCATGTGTTCATCATCTGATGCTAACGGGCACGGAGTGAGTCGTCATCCTGGGCGAAAACGTCTCGCAGCAAGTCTTTCCTGTCTTTCTGACCCCCAGTTTGAGCGGAATGCACGTCCAGGAGTCCGAAAGACCAGATGACTTTCGGCGAAGTTGCCGTTCGCCTTCCCGAGCCATAATTACGGTAGTGCCATGCAGCGAGGAGTAGGCCGAAAGGAGGCCGCTGAGGAATAGCTGCGTGACGGACAGCTCGGCGGACCAATCACAGCGCTAGAACCCGCGTCCGCCAGGAGCCTCAGCCAATCAGGAGGCTCCGTAGCCGGGCGCATCGTGGTGGGCAAGCGAACAATGTAAAACGTCCAAATAGGCTGACTTATAAACAATGACGGTGTAAATGCGTGTAAACGTTCATGTGGGTTCATTTTGACGCTGCTTTGCACCAATGCAGCGCCTCGTTTACGGGATTATCCGTTTTAATGAATGTGTGCAGCGGTAGCCGCTGGCTGCATGCTCGCTGACAACGTTGCACCCACGTTTCTCCTCCACTCGGTCTGCGGGGAGAAAGTGGAGGAAAAGTTTAAAGGGTCTGGGTTCTTTTGTCGCCCCTTCTGGACAGTTTTTTAGCATCTAACGCTCGTATTGCTGCTTAAAACTTCGGTTTTGTTTACGATCGAGGCGTGTTTACGACCAGCCCGCGGCGAAGAGGCGTCTCAGCGAACGAGGCTTCAACGTTAGTCGGCTCCTTGTCCTCCAGCGACCTGCTTGAATTTGAATTTTCCCGTTCCACCTTAAATGGAGCACCGGTTCCATTCTGGCGCTGGCACCATTTAAGGTGGACCGGGTGAATTCGAGCGAGGAGCTGGCGAATAGGAAGCCGACCTCAGCCTCGTCTAGAAGGTAAACAACGAAGAGGAAACGTATTGCGCGCCATTTGCGTCACACCGCTGCCTCGGCCCTCATGGTCGCGTCGAACCCGTTTAAACAGGGCCCGGCTCGGTTCTGCGTCCAGTCCAGTGCAGAAACGTTCGTTTTTTAACCCCGAGCCTTCGTCGGTTCCGCCCATCAGAATCCGCTCGGGCTCGACTGAACGTGACGGTACACGAGACTGGCGGCCCGAGCGGCGGCGCGTCACCGGGAGGAGCGAGTCTGATTGGCTCAAATCTGGGGAGCCAGTTATGAAACGACGCTCACAGAAGACATTTTACACCGAAAACGTTGTAAAAACGTCGTTTAAACCCCCGTGTCGAAGGGGAATTCCACTAATCTTACGAAATTCAATCGATGTGCTGTAAACAGACTCATTCGGAGTGGTTTGCTGTGGAAAGATTCATAGCAGAGAAACCTACTAACTCAGATTTATTGACCAGGGTATGTTTTGGTTTGTCCATCTGAATTTACATGACCAAATCATAAGGCAAACTATTCAGTAACTGCATGAAATAAATGTAAATTTTTATTTATTTATTTATTTTATTTTATTTAAAAGCTCCCCTCAAATTAACAGAACGTGTTTTATGATCACACATATTGCTATATGCTTACAATTTACTGCTGAAAGCCAAAAATCTTAGACGCTCTTTGTAATTTTTTATAAAAAATAATTTTTACAGAGCAGATCACTGAAGAGACGCCATCTGTTTATAGTTTATAGCCCAGATTTGTGGAAAAATGGGTCAAATTTCAGTAGACAAAACTGTGAGTTCAGCTTCTTTTATTATAAGGGTTTAAAATGACATCACCCATCTATTTGACTGGAAAGAAGACAGTTACAGCTCTCATACGACCCCCACCTTTAGAATGTAGCTCATGAAATATGACAGTTATGAAGAATATGACGAAGTGCGTTTTGGAACCACCGGTGGTCTCAAGGAGTTGAAGAGGTTAAACCTGTATGTTGAAGGGGAATTCCACTAATTTTACGAAATTCAATCGATGTGCTGTGAACAAACTCATTCAGGGTGGTTTTCTATGGGAAGATTCATTGCGGAGAAACCTACTAACTCAGATTTCCTAACAATGGTGGTGATGGGAACCAGGGGTCTCAGTGTCAGCAACACAAATATGGACTTTTTTATTTCCTATTCAAAATGACCAGTTATATGGGTTATTAATAATGGGTAAATTAGCAGTAAATCCAGGAAAAATGTTTCTTTTGTTCTTTATTTTCTACTATTTTGCATTATAATGCCTGGCATGCATTTTTCTCACATTAATTAATGTAAAAATATGGTTTAGGCCAAAATACTGTCTTACAACTCTTAAAACAATGTCACAGGCGCCAGACAGTCTGTTTGTAAACATTTCATGTAACAACTTTGACATTAAACTCTGGACGTGTGTTTTTTTATTAGCACCACTGTAAACAAATTCTGATTTGACTAGTTTGTCCACTCCCATACGTACACATTTAAACTGCTCTTTGTATTGTTTCAGTAAACGTGCTGGGTTAATAGTAGGGGTGGTGATGAGAGGTTTGCATAGATGTCAAAGAAGACCTCTGTTTATTCTCAGAGGACATTAATTATGCATAGTAATACTTATCAGTAATTTATTTCTGTTACATAAATATCAGTAGTTTCATTTTGTGCACAGAGATATTACACATTAATGAAGCCGTTCGTATTTATCTTTACTGTTTTTAATCTAAATTTAGGCCATTTTCCACTTTCCAACTACTCTGGTCATCTGTCTCTCATCTTCATCTTGTTCTTAACCTTTTCAACTCCTCGAGACCACCGGTGGTCCCAAAACGCACTTCGTCATATTCTTCATAACTTTCATATTTCGTAAGCTACATTCTAAAGGTGGGGGTCATATGAGAGCTGTAACTGTCTTCTTTCCAGTCAAATAGATGGGTGATGTCATTTTAAACCCTTATAATAAAAGAAGCTGAACTCACAACTTTTTGTTTACCGAAAGTCGACCCATTTTTCCACAAATCTGGGCTATAAACTATAAACAGACGGCGTCTCTTCATTGATCTGCTCTGTAAAAAATATATTTATAAAATAATACAAAGAGCGTCTAAGATTTTTGGCTTTCAGCAGTAAATTGTAAGCATATAGCAATATGTGTGATCATAAAACACACGTTCTGTTAATTTGAGGGGAACTTTTACAAAATAAATAAATAAAAAAACTAAAATTTACATTTATTTTATGCATTTACTGAATAATTTGCGATTTGGTCATGTGAATTCAGATGGAAAAGCCAAAATATACCCTGGTCAATAAGAGGTTAATATTGTACGTGACCGTCTTCTTTAAAGACCTGTACTCTTATGCTTAGCGTTTGTTTTTCTCCAGCCCTCCCTCTTCTTCACCACCTGTCTAATTGCTGTTTTCAGGGATGGAGCAGTGCTGCAGCCCCTGATTATGAGATTTGAGGTTCAGTCCTGTATTCGTGAAGCGTCTCTGAGTAAACAGTGCTGATCCAGAATCAGATTCCCCTCTTATTTATGAGGAATCTGCTGACATGAGCAGATCTCAGGCCAGGACTCCTTACTCTGAGACGCTTTATAAACACAGGCCCAGGTTTAGTGGTGGAGGCTTGTCAGGAAATACTGGATGGTGGCCCGGCAGCTAGAGGGCGCAGATGAGCGCAGTCTTTCTTTGTGTGCGGTCTTGTGCTCCGTCATGATGACTACACGTTCTTCCTGTGAACTGATTTTTAGGTTCCTGACTTCAGACCCAAGCTTGGGGGTTGTAGGAGACATCACAGAACCTGCTGGCGTCACAGTGTGATCTAAACTGGGATGGGATGTTGTGCATCTGCCATAGTTTAAAGCCACAGTGTTAGAAATGGCACAATACCACTGCTTGTTTGTTATGAAACCTGGAATATCACTTAATCAGTTGATTTGTATTTTTTTTAAGCTTTTAAGCTGTAAAATTAGCTTTTTTAACCTCTTATTCTCCAGGGTGTATTTTGGTTTTTCCATCTGAATTTACATGACCAAATCGTATTCAAATTATTCAGTAAATGCATGAAATAAATGTAAATTTTTATTTTATTTATTTATTTATTTTGTAAAAGCTCCCCTCAAATTAACAGAACATGTTTTATGATCACACATATTTCTATATGCTTACAATTTACTGCTGAAAGCCAAAAATCTTAGACGCTCTTTGTATTATTTTATAAAAGTAATGTTTACAGAGCAGATCACTGAAGAGACGCCATCTGTTTATAGTTTATAGCCCAGATTTGTGGAAAAATGGGTCGACTTTCGGTGGAGAAAAAAGTTGTGAGTTCAGCTTCTTTTATTATAAGGGTTTAAAATGACATCACCCATCTATTTGACTGGAAAGAAGACAGTTACAGCTCTCATACGACCCCCACCTTTAGAATGTAGCTTATGAAATCTGAAAGTTATGAAGATTATGACGAAGTGCGTTTTGGAACCACCGGTGGTCTCAAGGAGTTGAAGAGGTTAAAGATTTGTTGTTTGGATCAGATTCTTCAGTTTTTCCCCTCTCTTGTCTGTGATTTTTGGTATTGAGTATAATTTAGAGAGACACTCTTCCAGAGTTGTCCATGTACAGTGAACGAGCTTTGATCCAGTTATAGTATTAGCCTTCCTGGTTGCTGGTCAGCGTCTCTCCTTACATTTTAATGATCACATTTTTGTTTGTCAGTGGAAGTGGAGATACATTTTAATGATTTAACTTGCCAGTAGTTTATACACAGTGTAACTAAGTATGTTATTACATATAAATATATATGTATTGCAAATTGAATATGGAGCAGAATGTTTGTAGTAACTCTTAGCCTGCATTCACACTGCGATGCAACATAGCAGGTGGAGGTCATTCATTTTCAAAGAGTGCTGACCGTTTCGGATGACAGGTTGGTGATATGAAGTGGGCGGAGTCAGCGACAACAAAGATGAGCGGAGTTTAACTCTATGCAAATAAGGAGTGAAGCGATGTGGCGATTACCAATAGGAATTGAGCAGCGTAGTAGGCGCTTTATCTCCGCCACTGTGAAACGGTACACTCGGTACACTTTGGTTCCTAGGTAATGGTTCCTACTACAGGTGGAACAATGGTGTCGGTGCTTTCGCCGCAAATAGACGATAATCACAAAGACTGAAAACTGTTTTCCTCACAAACTGACTGCACAAACAGGGGTTAAATACAAATAAGCACACAAACGATTTCTCACCAGGACTTTTATTTCTAGTGGGAACGCATCTGATTGATGCTTGGCGTCAGTGAAACCAGGGTAACCAGTGATCTGCTTGGGTTCAGAAATGCCCACAGGCGACCAACGACCAGCGATTTGGGCGACTAGAGGCGAAACGTCTCTGCAGATGTGAACGTAGGGTTAGACTTTAGGGGCTGTGCTACAGAAACGTTTTAGCTCGGAAGTCTTATTGGTTTATTCACCATCGCAGCTGAAGGTGGGGTTAAAATCAGGACTGCAATTACAAAATTACTTCATAATCTTATCATAACTCCAGATAAGAAAAGAGTATTACAGAAACATCCGAACCAGGCAAAATTTCCTAAATACTGTTCTAAGTTTAGGACGAACCCCAAGAGTTTGTACAGTTGGCTGTTATACTGAATAGGGAATACATACATACATCATCTAAACCGCTTATCCTTCTGGGTCACGGTGGGGTGCTGGAGCCTATCCCAGCTGTCATTGGGCGGAAGGCAGGATACACCCTGGATAGGTCGCCAGTCCATCGCAGGGCAGACAGACAGACATACACATTCACACTCACACCTAGGGGCAATTCAGCACGTCCAATCAGCCTGACTGCATGTTTTTGGACTGTGGGAGGAAACTGGAGTACCCAGAGGAAACCCTCGCAGACACGGGGAGAACAGGCAAACTCCACACAGAAATGACCCTGGTCACCCGGCCGGGAATCCAACCCAGGTCATTCTTGCTGTGAGGCGACAGCGCTACCCACTGCGCCACTGTGCCGCCCTCTGAATAGGGAATGTTATTGTTTTTAGGCAGCCTTGACTTACAGTATAACTAGTGAGTGAGACACAGTCTCCCCCCATTCCCTCTCATTAGCTGTGTGTGTTATGGTGGTGGTGAATGAGAACGCTGGCTAAAGCATAACGGAAACCGAAACTCAGGGGCGGCTGGGCTGGTTAGACATCAGGGGGCACCGTCGCAGTATGCGTAACTCTTTTGAACTTCCAGTTTTTCGCACTTTAGTTTTGAGTTGACTACTATTTACATATTTACATATTTATTTACTTCAGATTAGCAGCTCTGAAAAGAGACCCATACATGAAAATATGTTTATTTATCTGTTTATCTGTCTAACTTACGTTTTTTAGGTTATTCTGATTGTGTTTACGTTTTGTCTGTGTGTATCATCAGTTGTTTGGTAACAGACTTGATTGATTATCAACCTCAACTGAGTAGTTTAGGATTTCCTAACTTGACATAAGATGCTGTAAGATAATTCCAAATCTAAGGCTTCGTTCACACAGCAGGTAAAAGTGCCCCAAATCTGATTTTCTCACCAAATCCGATTTTTTGTTTGTCTGTTCACATTATCTTTTAAATGTGATCTGTATGTGACATCAGTCTGAACAGATCAGCTCCTAAACTGACCCACATGTACAAAAGAACAGAGCGTCACGCTGCTTCACGGCTCATCCAGAGGTAAACAATCACGACCGCCAACGAACGCCAGTCGCTCCCGGGGGATCAGCTTCATCTTCACCAGCATCACAGGAGCCATCATGAAGCTTCACTGACTGACAGCTGGGCTCATCACCCAGAATGTGTTCGAGCTGTAAAAAGGGCGCGGTCACTTCTTCGATTCGCGTCCTTTTAACTGTTCTTTGGTGCTGCAGCCTCGTTCTCCTGCGGCGCGTTCGGACATTTCTTTCGAAATCTCTTCAAACACGCAGGGTGTGGATAATTCTCTTCTAATTTTTTTTGTGCGAAATTATGATGAATGTGGAGTAGAGCTGCAACAATTAATCGATTAATCGATTAGTTGTCGACTATTAAATTGATCAGCAACTGTTTTGGTAATCGATTAATCTGTTTGAGTTATTTTTTAAGAAAAGTACGTTTAAAAATTCTGATTCCTGCTTCTTAAATTTTAATATTTTCTGGTTTCTTTACCCGTCTGTGACGTCAGCCTGAATATATTTGGGGTGTGGATTAAAAAAAGACATTTGAGGCCGTCATCTTGAGCTTTGGAAAACACTGATCGATATTTTTCACCATTTTCTGATTTTTTGTTGAACAAACAATTAATCGATTAATCAAAAAAAGAAAAAAAATTAACAGATTAATCGACAATGAAAATAGTCGTTAGCTGCAGCCCTGATGTGGAGTTGGATTGACGTAAAAGTTGCATGAAGTCTGATCTGGTTGTTCAGACTGAGCTGCATCGCTGCAGATCGGATACATATCGGATTTCAGTACCACATATGAAAGCGTCTCAAATCGGAATTGAAAATGTCAGATTTAATGTGTTTTTACTGACAAATAAAGACCTGGTTTGGGCCACTTTTACCTGCTGTGTGGACAAAGCCTGTGATACCGTTTGCCTCTCTAATATGAATTTGCGCTAAATCTTATCCTGACTTTGTCACATCTTAAGACTGAAGATATGTTAGTGTTGTGTGGGTAAGTTTGTGTAATGTGCTCCCTGAGGGTAAAACTGTACGGCCCAGTCCCATTTCTTCTTTTTACCCCTACCCCTTGTTTTCGAGTGTCACCCTAACCCCTTGGAACTGAGTTTCAAGGGGTAGTGGTTGAAATCTTCCCTCTGAAATGGGACCCTCAAATAAAAAGAGCATCACTTCATTAACAGCTACCAGCGCTGCTCTGTAGGCGACCCTGCCAGTCTGCAGTGACAGCAGAGGAGGGTAAAGTTCAGCTCCTCACTGCTGGGCTTTAGTTACATTTAGGGCATCATATGACTTCTAAGAGGGGGGCAATTATTTATTATCACCCACCCCTAATTCTTCAGTGATATGAAGCTGAAGTCAGATATTCACCAGATTCTTGTTCGAATTTTCCCGTTCCACCTTAAATGGAGCAGCAGTTACATTCTGGCACTTCAGGCGTCAGAACTGCTGGACTATTTAAGGTGGAATGGGAAAGTTAGCTAGCTAGCAACCAAGACATTAGCATGCTATTAGCGATTTTTAATGCTTGTTATGAAGAAAACGACCATAATACACTGAAACGACATTAAACTAAGATAATTCAGTGGTTATTGTAATTTTTAACAGAAAATTCTCACATTTGTGGGTTTCTTTGATCTCTTGTTCTCCATCGTGCTGGTTTTTCTTTTATTCTCATATCTCTCTGTTTGGAGTCTCTGAAAAACCTCTGTTTAGAGGGTCATGTAGCTCTAACACTTCACCCCACCCCTCTATCTCAACAAGAATCGGGACACCCTACCCCTAGACGTGAGCGCGCAAAACAGAGGGGCAAGGGCTCGGTGGTAGGGGAGAGGGGTGAAGTGGGATGGGGCCTGTTTCAGTGTATTTGAGGCTGATGCTCTGTGTACTCGCAGGTTTGAGTGCTGGAGAACGGATATGAGCACCATCTGAATTGTAAATGAACATTAAGTGAAGAGATGCATAGCTGATCAATGGCTTCATTGTCCCCTAGGTTGGTGTGAATCATCCAGCATGACTAAGACCCCCCCTCACCGACGAGGGATCACGTTTGAGGTGGGGGCACCGTTGGAGGCTCGGGACAGCCTGAAGAACTGGTGAGGATTGTTTTTCTTTCTTTTTTTTCTTTTTTTCCCCCTCTGTCTTTCTTTCACTCTTTTATCTGTTACATCTCCTCTCTCTAAACAGCTTTGGTCTCCATCTTTCCCTCGCTCCCTCCCTTCTTCCGCTCTCTTAGAGAGCCTGACTCAAACGCAGCTGTCAGAGCCCCTCACCCTGCTCAGCATTCAGCACGGCCGTTTGATTCCCCCCGATTCCGACTTCCTTCAGATGCAAAAATGAGGCCTGTGATATTTATTCATATAGAAAGTGAAAGTCGTGTAAAATCTGGAACATGTTGAGCGAAAGATACGATCACAGAAGCCGACAGATGGGTCTGACGGATAATCTGTATTTTCACAACTGAAATAACAAAACTTAATGTATTTTTAGTGCACAGTTTCCGTTTTTTTCCTGATTTATTTCCACATACATATGTATGCATGTAGCTATATATATATATATATATATATATATATATATATATATATATATGTATATTTAAAACTGAAAAACGACATATATATATATATATATATATATATATATATATATATATATATATATATATATATATATATATACACCGATCAGGCATAACATTCTGACCACCTCCTCGTTTCTACGCTCATTGTCCATTTTATCAGCTCCACTTACTATATAGGTGCACTTTGTAGTTCTACAGTTACAGACTGTAGTCCATCTGTTTCTCTGATACTTTGTTAGCCCCCTTTTACCCTGTTCTTCAGTGGTCAGGACCCCCATGGACCCTCACAGAGCAGGTACTATTTGGGTGGTGGGTCATTCTCAGCACTGCAGTAACACTGACGTGGTGGTGGTGTGTTAGTGTGTTGTGCTGGTACGAGTGGATCAGACACAGCAGTTCTGCTGAAGTTTTAAACACTGTGTCCACTCACTGTCCACTCTATTAGACACTCCTACCTTGTCGGTCCACCTTGTAGATGTAAAGTCAGAGACGATAGCTCATCTGCTGCTGCACAGTTTGTGTTGGTCATCCTCTAGTCCTTCATCAGTGGTCACATGACGCTGCCGACAGGACGCTGTTGGCTGGATATTTTTGGTTGGTGGACTATTCTCAGTCCAGCAGTGACACTGAGGTGTTTAAAAGCTCCAGCAGCACTGCTGTGTCTGATCCACTCAGACCAGCACAACACACACTAACACACCACCACCACGTCAGTGTTACTGCAGTGCTGAGAATGATCCACCACCCAAATAGTACCTGCTCTGTGAGGGTCCATGGGGGTCCTGACCACTGAAGAACAGGGTAAAAGGGGGCTAACAAAGTATCAGAGAAACAGATGGACTACAGTCTGTAACTGTAGAACTACAAAGTGCACCTATATAGTAAGTGGAGCTGATAAAATGGACAATGAGCGTAGAAACAGTTTTGAAGGGTAAATAAGAATTTAAAAGTATATTTAGCAGCCATCTACATTAAGCATGTCTGATAATAAAAATATCAGTGATTCCCAACTGAAGGGTTCCCTCTGGTGGGCCAGGGAGACCACTGCACCGATCATGTTTAGAGCCTCATTCATTTTTCTCCTACGTTTCAGTGTAGTACTACCACTGACCCCATTTTTAGCAAGAAATCCTCTGTTTTTAAATGATGGTGCTGCCACCACAAACTCAAGGTTTGTTTGGCAGGAACCCAGCGGGCCTTTTTCTGCCACATTCGTCAAGCCGGTGATACACACTTAACACCGTAACCATGGTAATCACTCATTTGGAAAAGGCCCTTGTGTGACATTAAAGCCCTCATCATCTCATCATTTGATACCCTCAAGATTCTCGCATTTCATGACTAGATAGTGTTTCCAGTTATGCGCTGAACGCTTTTAGAAACACCGTAGCTTCTTGTTTAATGAAGCTTGGTGGTCTGTTTTTACCTGCTGAGGTGCTGGAAGACTGTGGCTGTTTGTACGGTGAGCCTCGAGGTCTTCGCTGTGAAGTAAAAGCGGACTGGAGCCGTTTTGTTTTTACAGTGCACAAATCAATTGGACCACAGACCGAACTGAGTGCAGCAGTGTGACTCAGTCTGCACAGCCAGAGCGGAATTCATGAGACACTTTTGTCAATCCAGCTCCACATTCGTCATCATTTCGCGCTGCTGAGACTCAAAAACATTTAGGCTGATGTTTCAGTACAAATATTAGAAGAGACTCATCCAAAACCCTCCGTGTTTGAAGAGATTTTGAGAGAAATGTCCGAACGCGGCCGCAGGAGAACGAGGCTGCAGCGTCAAAGAACAGTTAAAAGTCTGAAAGCAGAGTTTAAAGAATCTGAGGACGCGAACCAAAGAAGTGACCACGCCCTTTTTACAGCTCGAACACATTCTGGGTGATGAGCCCAGCTGTCAGTCAGTGAAGCTTCATGATGGCTCCTGTGATGCTGGTGAAGATGAAGCTGATCCTCCGAGAGCGACTGGCGCTCGTTGGCGGTCGTGATTGTTTACCTCTGGATGAGCCGTGAAGCAGCGTGACGCTCTGTTCTTTTGTGCATGTGGGTCAGTTTAGGAGCTGATCTGTTCAGACTGATGTCTCATACAGATCACATTTAAAAGGTAATGTGAACAGCCAAACAAAAAATCAGATTTGGTGAGAAAATCAGATTTGGGCCACTTTTACCTGCTGTGTGAACGTAGCCTTAGATTATCTTACAGCGTCTTATGCCAAGTTAGGAAATCCTAAACTACTCAGTCGAGCTCGATAATCAGTCAAGTCTGTTACCAAACAACTGATGATACACACACGCAGATAAAACGTAAACACATAATCAAAATAACCTAAATAGATAGATAAACAAAGTAAACATATTACTTACATGTATAAGTCTCACTTCAGAGGTGTTAATCTGAAGTAAATACATACATACATACATACATCATCTAAACCGCTTATCCTTCTGGGTCACAGTGGGGTGCTGGAGCCTATCCCAGCTGTCGTTGGGCGGAATAAATAAGTAAATAAGTAAGTGCATATATAAATATGTAGTCAAATCAAAACTAAAGTGCGACAAAGTGGTGAGAAAATCAGATTTGGGCCACTTTTACATGTAAACGTACCCATAATTCCTCTGATTCCATCCTTCTTGTTGCTGGTCGTCCTCTTCTGCAGCTCATCTGGTGGTTTAAAACAGAAAACACAAAAAATCTCCGAGACAAGTGGCCACTAGGGGGACAGGCTCTGCATTTTCCGAGGCCAAAATGTCTCAAGCGTTCCGATTACTTACCTCATCCATAGTCGGAGGAATATATCATCTTAAATGCATGACGTTTAAACAGTTTTCTAGATTCTCCACCAACGACTCACCAATAACAATATGTGTTTTGCATATTTAGGTACGCTGCCAGCATAGAGAAGATTGACTACGAGGACGAGAAGGTCCTGATCCACTACCGGCAGTGGAGTCATCGCTATGACGAGTGGTTTGACTGGAGCAGTCCGTATCTGAGGCCTGTGGAACGCATCCAGCTCCGACGGCAGGGCCTCCAGGAGCACAACGCGGCCCCGGTGACTCTCCTTATGCCTTCACTGCTTTACATAAAACTAGGTCTTTTAGTTTGTGGGACGAATGCAGCAGAGTCATCACAGTAACACTTGCCTTCGGTTCCTTTCAGGAGTTTCATGTCAATCAAAAAGTGCTAGCCAGCTGGTCAGACTGCCGCTACTACCCTGCTAAGATCCTGTCCCGTGATAAAGACGGTCAGTTGTTGTTGTCTTGACGTAATTACATGTGTAGTTTTTCGAGAAGGGTCTGGCTGCAGACATGCACTCTCAGGCTGACGTGCGGCGCCAGCCTGTTGATGACGTCAGTGCCGCTCTGCCACGACGGTGTTTTTGTCGGTTTTATGAGGGAAAACAGCGAAACACGAACTGCAGGGCAACAAGAGCTACACTGAATGCATATTAATGTTGTCATACTGATAATAAGGTAATTAAATATGGAAACTTTCAACATAAAACCTACCATGATGATGAGACACGAATGTCGGGTTTATTCGCAGACAAAAAACAAAAAGGCTACTGAAACTCATGAAGCCAGGCTGAAGACGATCAGAGCCGGTTATCAAAACCTGTAATACGGATTAAAGTAGAACTCATTAAGGGTTCTAGGAGGTTGTGACAACATGCAGCTAATGCAGTACTTTTGCTGTCTCGTCAACGTCGTCACAACCTCCTAGAAAGTTGTCGGACAACGTTGACATAACTTTCTGAGGAATTATATTTCAATGTTGTGCCAATGTAGAGAAGCACCAAGCAGATGACGCTGTGGGCACCAAAACAGGACGTTGTCGCAGCTTAACTGTGTTTGCAGGGCCATTAGGAGTAAAACCTGATGGTTGCCATTAGAGGCCATTAGGAAACGATCAAATGTTCGTGGAATTCAGGTACTTTTGGTGAAAAACATTTTCATTAATTTAGTTAATTTGATTGAATGACCCTTATTAGTCCCACCGTGGGGAAATTTCACGTCCACATTTAACCCATCTGTGCAGTGAAACAGCACATACACACTAGTGAACACACACACACACACTAGGGGGCAGTAAGCACACTTGCCCAGAGTGGTGGGCAGCCCTATCCACAGTGCCCAGGGAGCAGTTGGGGGATAGGCGTCTTGCTCAAGGGCACTTCAGTCACCAACTGGCGATTAAATGCATGTGGAATCAGTCCCAAAACAGCTGTGACATCAACCCATCAGGAAAACACAGAATACCATTAGTGGTTACTGAAAACCACCAGGAACCAACAGACACTTTTAATGGGTTCTATGACTTTTTTCAACAGGGAGGTACATTAAATGTAACTTTCTAGCCGTGTTATGGAAGAAAAATGGATTAAGTGATGATGTCACTGAGCAGAAGCAGCAGCCAAAAATCCTGTCATTGTGGCAGAGACTGCATGTGCACGTGACGTCACTGGGGCTGAGAGTGCATCTGGCTGAGAGTGCATCTGGCTGAGAGTGCATGTCCGCAGCCAGACTCTACTGAGTTTTTCTGAGCTTTACTGACCGACTCTGGCTGTAAATCTGACGGCTTTACTTCTTTATCTTGCCTCAGATTCTTATACAGTGAAGTTTTTTGATGGTGTTGTCAAGTCCTTGAAGGGAATAAAGATCAAGCCGTTCAGAAAGGAGGTAAGAATCCACTGTAAAAAGCAGTTTATTTTATATATTTACACTCTCAAAAAAAGGGTTCTAACCTGTCACTGGGGCAGCACCCCTCCTGTCACTGGGGTGGTTCCCTCAAGGGTCCATCTCAGTACCTTTAGTCAGGGAACATAACTGAACCATAATCCACTGAAATGATATGTTCTAAGCTGTACTGACTCCACACACCCCGTCTCGTCTCCAGGCTTTTATTTTACTGCTCTGCTTTAAAACATTCGGTTATGAAAAGGTACAAATACGAACTTTTCACCTGGAAAAACTTATTTAAGGATCCCAATCAGACCTTAAAACCACTGTTGTACCTTTGAGGGAACATTTACACTGTTTGTACCTTGATGAATGAAAAATGTACCTGAACAGAACCTTTATTTCTAACAGTGTTGTAGCTATTTATATTTTCTATATACAGTAGAATAAAGAGCAATGTGCCTTTATATATACAGCACCTGTCAGAAATTTGGGGACATCTGTCATTTGCCAGTGTTTAAAAAATAAAACATTTTCATTAATTTAATTAACACCCACACACACACACTAGAGGGCAGTGAGCACACTTGCCCAGAGCGGTGGGCAGCCCTATCCACGGCGCCTGGGGAGCAGTTGGGGGTTAGGTGTCTTGCTCAAGGGTACTTCAGCCACATTCTGTCGGCTCAGGGAATCGAAGTGGCGACCTTCCGGTCACAGGCCTGGTTCCCTAACCTCCAGCCCATTACTGCCCCTGTTTAATGTGATTTTAATAATAGTTAAAGTGTTATTTGGGCAAGAAAACATATTGATGAACATGAGGCTGAGCATAGCAACATATAAAGATAACAATGTTTTATCAACAGTGTTTGCCGTCATTAACACCACAGTAAAGTGGCTTTAGTGATATTTTTCAGATATTGACAGAACACTGAAGACTGACCACCTGCATGTCTCATTCTGTGTATTAAGAGAGTATAATTACTCCTGTTTAATAGGATTTACTACAGAATGTTCCAGTGTGGCAAATCTCAGAAAAAGTAAATACTCTGATATATTTCATGTATTGTGAAAAGAATTGTGATATATTTTCCATATCACACACACATGTGTCCAAAATAATAGTATTCTTGCGTTTTGCATGACTTTACACTGAATAGTCGCCGCTATTCTTAGGACTGAATCAGGGATTGACTGCCTTCAATTAGCTGTGCTTTGTGAATGATTCACCTGCAGGACGCGACAGAAGCCGAGAGACGAGAGACACACAGACCTTTAATTCAGTGTTTTCACTCCAGGCTTGGAGCCGCTGCACTGTACAGTTCAGTGTTTCTCTCTGCTGTTCACCTCGTTCAGCTCAAGAAGGGCTTAATTAGCTAATAATATCAGGTATTTTAACCAGGAAACCACAGTTATGCAGTGCAGGGGTTTCAGGACTGGAGCTGAACTCTGAACTAACTGAACTAGCAAACTTACAGAATCACGTCTGTCGAAACACGACGTCGTTTTCCGACCCACGACGTTCAGTCTGATATTTAACGCTTATGTTTCTCCATTCAAACGTCATTTAAATCAGAAACAGAGAGTAAAGTTATACCGGCTGTCTGCAGCTCCGTTAGGGGGCGACTGTTTATCTCTCGGCTGATAACATCAGCTAAAGTTATCTAAAGGCCAGCATTGATCTCATCTGTGTTAATTAGCTGATGTCGTTACCCTCCTATGATGACGGAGTGTTTTCTCCTCTTTATGCAGCACCATGGGATCCTTTACCCACCCTGACGTGAAGAGCCGGTGGGCTTCTGTGCTTTTAAATGCTGTGAGAGACTCAGAATAGGGAGAGGGGCTGAGTATGAGATCAATATAAACGTCAGGAAAACACAAATTTGGTATCTTTCTGCCAGTTTAAGTGGAACCAGGAGTTCAGGGGAAACTGTATAAGGATCTCAGCCTATTTTATCGACTTTGTCGAGGTCACGTTTTTCTCTTCCACAGTAAGGAGAGTAATTTTAGCCGTCTTTCACCTCTAGTTACGTTCGTGTGGAGCAGCGAAGCCAGAAATTCCGTCCCAAATATGGCGCCTTAACAGAAACATCACGTGACTGAATCCCTAGGATGGACCTGTTTGCTAATGGTTTTTTCTGACTAAATCATGTTAAAGGAAGACCCCAAACAGCATATACAGTGTATTCAGTTGTTTATTTAGCAGTAATAAACAGGTACAGTAAATGTCTCTCTTCTGTTTTTGATGTGTAGAACTCCAACAGCAAGTCTACACCACCAAGCCGAAAGCGGGCCGGCCCACCCGGAAAAGACTGGAGGGCCAAAGAGAACGGCACAGGCAGGAGCAACGGCGCCCGGCACAGCACTTCCGACCACGACAGGGACAGCGACTCTGAGGAGGAGAACAGCAGGGTGACGGAGGAAGCGGTCCAACAAGCTGTTGACCGGCAGCCCAACAATCTGCAGAACGGCACGGTGGACGAGAACAAAGCGTCAGAGAGGGTGAACGGGTCCGCGGAGCCGGAGGAGAAGCCGTCCGGTGGGGATTCAGGAGAGACTGAAGCTCTGGAGGATGGAGAAGAGGAGACGAGGGAAGTGAACGGAGTGACCGAGGAGGAGAAAGAAGGAGCTCTTCAGAATGGAACTCACGAGAGCAACGAGGAGAAACAGGAGAGAGACGAAACGTCAGAGGCGAGCCAGGAGGACAAGAGTCCCAACCCGGCCAGGAGGACAAGGGCCAAGACAGTTGAAGGTAAGCTGGAATTTGTTTGTGATGACCCAGATTTAGGAGTTAGAATAAACATCCTGCTTGTGTAAACAACCAAATGCAGGGCCAAGAAACATCTTAACCCCTAGAACACGAAGCTCGGATTTGCAGGCAAAACGGTAGGTCACTTCTGGCCTTCATAACTTCAGAACGGTTTAAGCTACAGACGTGATCCACATATCAGGACATTCAGGAGGAATTCAGCTTGGACAATCACCTAAAATCCTGATATCATTGCTCTGCTGCTTTCCAACAAAGGGTTAAAACAACATGATTCACACGTCAGATCACTCATCAGACTCTGCTTTACCATCCAGAGTGATTTCATCCACCTGTGACCGTCCATCAGCCAGAGATCAGCTCCAAAACCACCCAAACCCACTCACTACTGTTATATTACATCTCTGCTTTCAGCCTTCATATTATAAACAAAGGGTTAAAAATAGTGACATTAATAACACACCAGAACACTCAGAGGAACCTGCCATCACTACCCAGAGTGAGAGAAACCAGCTCTAACATCCCACAACCCAGAAATACAGCACAAACACACAGCCAGATCACTGTAAAACCTGCTATCACGTGCTACCTTTAGGTGATGTCATTAGGAAGCATAGTATAATATCTCAAAGCTATGCTGACGACACCCAGCTATACATTTCTATTCCTTCTGAAGGTCGAGACTCTGTAGACAGACTGACCAGCTGTGTGTCAGATATTTCTCAATGGATGTCGCAAAATTTTCTTACTGAACTTCCTAAGAAAACAGTCCATCCAACTTGGACAAAATGCAGCAGCATCCTAACAAAAACAACACGGAGAGATCAGATCAGTCCTGCTTTAAAAGAGCTTAACTGCCTGCCTGTATCGTTCAGGATAGATTTTAAAGTTCTGCTACTAGTTTTTAAGGCTCTAAATGACCTTAAAGCTCCACTTACATCACAGTCTGTCTGTTTATGATCTTAGACCTGCAGATACTGACCTTCTGCAAACACCTTCAGTAAAATACAGAAAACAGAGAGACTCGTTCAGTTATTCTGCTTCTAAACTGTGGAGCTCAGTTCAGCTTTTATTAGACAGTCAAGCTCAGAGCTCACTTTTAAGAAGCAGCTAAAAACGTCTTTAACTTAGCATTTAATTAAAACTCTACGTCTCGTGGTTTTTATCTTCTAATTTGATCTGTTTCATTTTCTTCTGATTCTAAATAAATACTAATGATTTCTTGTATAACTGTTTTATCACCTGTCTGTAAAGCACTTTGAGCTGCCACCTGCATGAAACGTGCTATATAAATAAAATTGTTGTTGTTGTTCTTGTTATCATTATTATTATTAGCTCTCTGCTTTAGCCTTCATATGGCAACAAAAGGGTTAACTCACTTGTTTGAAACTCTTGCCCAAGTTAGGACTTCTGCCAGTGCTTTAGGGCTTCTTTTTATGACCCTGTTCAGCTTCTGGTTCTGTTACTAACACAGCCTCTGCCAAGCTATCAGCAGATTACAGGAGTTTAATTACTGAGTTTAAGAAAATCACTAACTGGACTGCACCTTATATATATATATATATATATATATATATATATGCATTTTCGCTTAAGTTGCTCGGCCAGCTCTGGTTGATCTGCTCCAGACATGGTTGCAGCAGGTCTGGTTCCCTCCCCCCACGCTGACTCATGCTGAATGTTGGCTTGTGTGCCTTTCACAGGCAAAGACGCTGAAAGACCCAGCGTGCCAGAACTAAGGAAGAGACGCGCGTCCACAGGACAGACGCCTCCGTCCAAGAGGAGCAGAGCCAACTCGAGTACAGGTCCAAACATGTAGTCTCTCTGTTTTTCTTTCTTTTTATATACACTGGTCAGGCAGAACATTATGACCACCTCCTCGTTTCTACGTTCATTGTCCGTTTTATCAGCTCCACTTACTATATAGGTGCACTTTGTAGTTCTACAGTTACAGACTGTAGTCCATCTGTTTCTCTGATACTTTGTTAGCCCCCTTTTACCCTGTTCTTCAGTGGTCAGGACCCCCATGGACCCTCACAGAGCAGGTACTATTTGGGTGGTGGATCATTCTCAGCACTGCAGTAACACTGACGTGGTGGTGGTGTGTTAGTGTGTGTTGTGCTGGTCTGAGTGGAACTGTAGAACTACAAAGTGCACCTATATAGTAAGTGGAGCTGATAAAATGGACAATGAGTGTAGAAACAAGGAGGCGGTCATAATGTTCTGCCTGACCGGTGTACGTGTGTGTGGGTGTGTGTGTGTAAAACTGGTCCCCCTGCACGCTCATCATTAATTAGCATGGCTCATAATCTAACAAAATTGTATGTGACACCCATACAGACAGAACCAATCGATCCCAGATCCTGCCTGCCAAGTCGGATTCCGTCCAGAAAAGCTCTGAAGATAAGGATGGCCACAATCAACCCGGTCATCCAGAGAACTCTAAACCTACAGCACAGACAGGACCTACAGCTGATCTTGGTATATTTGTGTGTTTGTCTGTAAACAATCATGATTAAGGTGTAATTTGTAATTAGAAAAAGTAGCATTTTATTTTGTAATGAAAAAATATGACCATGGTGTTCTGAAAAATAAATGCTTTTCCCTGCAGCAACTCTGCTCCAGCGGCAGGTCCACCTTCCAACCACAAACAAGTACAGCAGGGAACCATGTGAGTGCCTCTGTACATCCACACACATACACATAAACATGGGTCAAGAAATGTGTGCCAAAATGAATTACTCTGTATAAAATCCTCATTTATCCTACACATATCCATTCACTGGCCAGTTTGTTAGGTACACCTACCTTGTTTCTACGCTCATTGTCCATTTAATCAGCTCCACTTACTATATAGGTGCACTTTGTAGTTCTACAGTTACAGACTGTAGTCCATCTGTTTCTCTGATACTTTGTTACCCCCTTTATACACTTCTTTAATGGTCAGGACCCCCATGGGATCACAGAAGGTGGTGTGTCCACTCACTGGCCACTCTACAAGATATGCCTACACTTTTGCTCTATTGCACTACTTTAAAGATCCTCTGGTGGTAGTTCTCAAACTGGTCTTAGACCGAAAATCTGGGAGGGCCCTGAGGAGCTGTTTTGAGAACCACTGTTCTAGTCCTTCACAGTGGTCAGTTTTAGGATACTGTTGGCTGGATATTTGTGGTTGGTGGACTATTTGCAGCTCAGCTTGTGATATGAAGTCGTTTAAAAACTCCAGCAGTTCTGCTGTGTGTGATCCACTCTGTGCAGCATGCGCACACACTAATGTGTCACTGCAGTGCTGAGAATGATTCACCGCCCACATAATACCTGCTCAGTGGTGGTTCTGACCATTGTTGAATTGGGTAAAGTATGGCTAAAATAGTATGCAGGGAAACAGATGGGCTACAGTCTGTAACTGTAGAACTACACTAAGGCCCAATTTCACCCCTCGCCCCTACCACTCAGTCCTTAGCCCTCTGTTTTGCGCGTTCATGTCTAGGGGTAGGGTGTCCCGATTCTTGTTGAGATAGAGGGGTAGGGGGAAGTGTTGGGGCTACATGACCCTCCAAACAGAGGTTTTTCAGAGACTCTAAACAGAGTGATATGAGAAAAAAAGAAAAACCAGCAAGTTGGCTGAACAAGAGATCAAAGAAACGCACAAATGTGAGAATTTTCTCTGTTAAAAAAATTACGATAACCACTGTATTATCTTAGTTTAATGCCGTCTGAATGTATGATGGTCGTTTTTTTCATAATAAGCCTAAAAAATTGCTAATAGTATACTAACGTCTTGGTTGCTAGCTAGCTAACTTTCCCATTCCACCTTAAATAGTCCAGCAGTTCTGACGCCTGAAGCACCAGAATGTATCTGCTGCTCCATTTAAGGTGGAACGGGAAAATTCGAATGAAGCTGGTGAATATCTGACTTCAGCTTCATATCACTGAAGAATTAGGGGTGGGTGATAATAAATAATTGCCCCCCTCTTTGAAGATCATATGATGCCCTAAATGTAACTAAAGCCCAGCAGTGAGGAGCTGAACTTTACCCTCCTCTGCTGTCACTGCAGACTGGCAGGGTCGCCTACAGAGCAGCGCTGGTAGCTGTTAATGAAGTGATGCTCTTTTTATTTGAGGGTCTCATTTCAGAGGGAAGATTTCAACCACTACCCCTTGAAACTCGGTTCCAAGGGGCAAGGAGACACTCGAAAACAAGGAGTACGGGTAAAAATAAGAAACGGGACTGGGCCTAAGTGCACCTATATAATAAGTGGGCCGGACAAACGTAAGAGTTGATACAATGCCAATGTGTCCAGGTGGCCAGTGACTGTCCTGTCCACTCATCCTGGATATGCGCACATTCAGGCTCATTTAACACTCTGTCTTCTCTTTGTTTCCTCCCAACAGTGTACAGGGTCATCAAAAACCAGCCTCCACCCATCCTCTCCATCGAGCTGGACCATAACCCGTTTAAGTGCCAGGTCCCTGGCTGCACCAAGTCCTTCCGCAAGGCCTCTCTCCTGCACTACCACATGAAGTACTACCACTCGCAGAGCGACCTGAGCCCCACACGCAGCGCCCAGACGCGAACGTCTGACCGGCAGCCCCACGGCCAGGAGACCCCTCGTAGACGCCGCACCGTTTCTGCATCACTAGGTGAGCATACACCCTGCGTGGGGGGTCTTCAGTGTGGGATGTTAGCTGGTAGATGCAGCATGAATGTCTTTAGTAGGTTTAGCAGCTGAATTTTATACCATGTAGTTCATTTCGCCTGAATGAACTGGGCAACTTCTTTAGAAACAGTAAGGCTAATTAAAAGCTATAGTCTTACATTTACATAATTGGGAATGGAAAATGTGATAAATGTCAGAAAGTTTTTACTTCAGTGAATCAAGATAAGAAAACTTTACATTTTTCCAAATTAAATCACTAAAAAATTTAAATATTGATCGTTGGTACAAAAACTCAGGGAAAGCTGCTTTAGAGAAACTTTGTTCTTTAGCTTCATTTACCAAACCTGAAGTATGAAACCTGGGTGTGGTCTTAGACTCTGAGCTCTGTTTTAATCTGCATGTAAACACAGTCACTAAAGTAGCTTTTAATCATTTTAGAAATATCATTAAAGTTCGGCCTTTTCTCTCTCAGAGCGACGCAGAGAAACTCGTTCATGCATTTGTTACAGCAGAGTTGATCACTGTAATGATCTTCTTACTGAACTTCCTAAGAAAACAATACATCCTTTACAACTCGGACAAAAAGCAGAGAGATCAGATCACTCGCGTTTATCAAGCACTGAATTGGCTGCCTGTATCGTTCAGGATAGGTTTTAAAGTTCTACTGCTAGTTTTTAAGGCTCTAAGTGACCTTAAAGCACCACCTACATCACAGACTATCTGTCTGTTTATGATCTTAGACCTGCAGTTACTGACCTTCTACAAACACCTACAGTAAAATACAGAAAACATGGAGAGACTCGTTCAGTTATTCTGCTTCTAAACTGTGGAGCTCAGTTCACCTTTTATTAGACAGTAAAGCTCAGAGCTCACTTTTAAGAAGCAGCTAAAAACGTCTTTAACTCAGCATTTAATTAAAACCCTACATCTCGTGTTGTTTGTTAAATTTGTGTCATTTTCTTCTGATTCTAAATAAATACTAATAATTTCTGTTACTGTTAAGCTTTATCACCTGTCTGTAAAGCACTTTGAGCTGCCACCAGCATGAAAGATGCTATATTGAATTAAACATTTTTATTATTTTAATTATTCTTATTTAATTATTATTTGACATCCTTGAAAGACGTTCTTCACAAAGTTTAGACCAAGTTCTCTTTGAGAACTCTTTCAATGCGCTAATAATAATCAGGTTTATCCGCTTGGAGAAGGGGTCTGAAATACAACTGATGTTACAGAATATTCTTCTGCTTTTTGGGTGCAGTTACACATTTCCACCAGAGAGGTCTCCACATGCCCAAATCTTACATAGTGCAGGTTTAAGTTCAGGTTTTTCCGTATGATGGTGTGTAGTGTCTTTTCTCTGTGTCTAAAGTTGAGCAGTATCATTATCATTTAATCAGTTTATAGCGTTTAAGTTATGCACACAGAAGAAATCCCCCCGCCCACATTAGCACCCTAACCATGATGTTAGCTTGTCTATCTGTGAAATCAGTCCACGTAAGACTAGTTACTCTACTCCAGAGGTCACTAACAGGTGGACCGCGGTCCGAGTCTGGACCCAGACGCTGTCCTTTGCGGGCCTGGACCTATAACCGATAAACTATGGAGAATTCATTAATTTCGATGGGGTGGTCCCGGGAAACTCACAGACCAATCGCATGTGTTGTACATATCACAAGTGACTCTACTCAGCCAATCAGGCACAACATTATGACCACCTCCTTGTTTCTATGCTCATTGTCCATTTTAGCAGCTCCACTTACTATATAGGTGCACTTTGTAGTTCTACAGTTACAGACTGTAGTCCATCTGTTTCTCTGATACTTTGTTAGCCCCCTTTTACCCTGTTCTTCAGTGGTCAGGACCCCCATGGACCCTCACAGAGCAGGTACTATTTGGGTGGGCTGCTGGAGTTTTTAAACACCTCAGTGTCACTGCTGGACTGAGAATAGTCCACCAACCAAAAATATCCAGCCAACAGTGTCCTGTGGGCAGCGTCCTGTGACCACTGATGAAGGACTAGAGGATGACCAACACAAACTGTGCAGCAGCAGATGAGCTACCGTCTCTGACTTTACATCTACAAGGTGGACTGACAAGGTAAGAGTGTCTAATAGAGTGGACGGTGAGTGGACACAGTGTTTAAAAACTACAGCAGCACTGTTGTGTCTGATCCACTCAGACCAGCGCAACACACACTAACACACCACCACCGCGTCAGTGTTACTGCAGTGCTGAGAATGATCCACCACCCAAATAGTACCTGCTCTGTGAGGGTCCACGGGGGTCCTGACCACTGAAGAACAGGGTAAAAGGGGGCTAACAAAGTATCAGAGAAACAGATGGACTACAGTCTGTAACTGTAGAACTACAAAGTGCACCTATATAGTAAGTGGAGCTGATAAAATGGACAATGAGCGTAGAAACAAGGAGGTGGTCATAATGTTACGCCTGATCTGTGTACCTACTAGGCTACTTCTGTTTACAGTATGTGGCACTGAATCATGATGCAATTTAGACAGTATGATGTTCCGGATCTTTGCTTGAGGAATTTTCTCTAACTGGACCTTATTGAATTTTAATTGAAGACCCCTGCCAGACTGGACATTTCCATATCGCCTAGACATTCATTTCTCCTGGATAAACACTTAGCAGGACTGAAGTGGAAGAGTCTGTTATTGCTGTAAACATTCTCAATTTATTAAAAAATATACAGTCCTCCTTATCTCTCTCTCTCTCTTTTCCCCTCCCTCTCTCTCCCTCTCCCTCTCCCACCTTTCTTTCCCACAGACACTCCATCCCCGCTGAGTGACAGCAAGTCTGGCCACACTCCATCGCCCCCTACTGCCAACGGCGTGCATCGTCAGCGCAGCTCCTCCCACTGCGAGAGAAGCAAAGAGAACCTGCACGCCAACCGCTCACTCCATGACGACAGAGACTGGGTTGCCATGGAAACAGGTACAGGAGAGCATCACCCTCGTCACGTCTAGTGCCGGGTGAAGCTTCCCAGCTAACTGCTCATAGTGTGGTGGAAAGCGTTTAGATATTCATCATTTCTTCTATTTCTTTTCTTTTTTTCCCATCTTTTTTTGTGGGTGGGGGGTGCAGAAAGAGAGAAGCGGCGAGAGAAGAGACAAAGGGACTTCTTCTGCATCAAGTCGAAGAAAAAGAAGAAGAAGAAAAAGAAGTCCAAATCAGGTAAGACGGTTTGGGCCGTGAGAAACATGTGGACGTTGCTTAGGCTCTCTGGCTCCCTCGTGTGCTTTTCTGCTGGACTTGCAGGCTTTTGCGAACACACACAAGCATACAAGCACATCTGTATCCTGCTGTATCTGTCGTGTCTGTAAAAATCACTCCTATTAAAACTGTTATTTAGATGTGTTCGGTTTGTGTTTTAACCTGATGTGCAGTCAGTGAAGTCACTAACAGTGATGTATTAGCATTGATAATGCAGGGGGGATTCTGTGTTTCAGCGCTGATGGTGGGATTGTTGGTGCTCTTAGCTCATTTCCTGATTCAGTTCATGCCTCTTGCTGTTCATTGCAGGCCCTGAGTAGCCAATGCCAGGATCATGGGTGGGGATTCTGTGGGCCTTCGGTTAAAAATATGAAAGAGCGCAATGAATTTAGTTCTGTAAGTGAATAATATTTGAGAACAGGGTAGAAATAAAGCCGGTAAACATCGGTAACGGGACTAGTTTGCATAATCTCATTTGCATTATTGCCAACTGGGCAGCGTTAGCTTTTGCTGTTCTCTGGAAAACCATTTTTGGATGGTGTTTTTTCCAGTGTTGGCATTTTTGGATGAAATATTCCTTATATGGCTTTTACTAGAGTCCAGTCTCAGCCTACAGACCAGTTTTAAGGCCATAAACTAGCTGAAAAAAAGCTTAGTCTGGTGTCGCTCCTGGTCTTGGTCTCCGACTCACCTCTAGTGGTCTTGATTACAACTGTACTGTCACTATCAATTATAGGAGTAATTGAGTAATCTAGTCATAATTTTGATGATTTAATAAAATATTTTTTGTTTGTTTTTGTTTGTTTTGTTTAACCATGGGCCAGAAGTTTTAATCCGCACTTCGATAACCTAAGAATAGCTCAACCAGTTTGCATTGAAGTCGTAATAATTGAGTCGTGACGGCTCTTAAAAGGAAATTATTTTAAAGGAATAGTTCATCAAAAAATCAAACTTAACCAATTTTTAACTCACCCCAGATATAGTCAGTCAGCCCTGACATGTTTGGAGTCAAGATTGTCCACCTATAGTTTAGCGCTGGAACTACAAAGCTAATATTGCTAAAAAAAAAACAACAACAACACTTGAAGTCAATAGTCACCCAAATCTTTTCCTTAAATACCACCTCAAAACTTCTCTCAAACCTCATCCGAGGCTTCATTAAGGTCTCACAGACTTGTCCATGTAGTTTAGTTCACAGTATGACCAGAGCCGGTTTATGAGGAACCTGGCCAATCCACCCCCGTTATATCAAAACAGGACAGCAGAGGGCGCCCGTGAGCGAGTCTCAGTGAATGAGAGTAAGTGGAGCTCAACAGCTAAAAACGAGAAGTTAAATAGTTTCTAATCACTGAACCAGAACTTTCCTTTAACTGTAGAAAGCAGAAGGATGTATTTCACTAAAAAACAAAGAAAACTTCCTTTTTTTCTACAGCAAACGGTTTTTGGGAAGTAGAACGCTGGCATTACTGCTAGAGAGTGATGATTGGTTGGCGAGCGGAGCAGCTCATTGGCTGTTCGCGCTCACTGACGTCATGAACGTACATGAGCCGCCATTTTAAACTCCTATAACTGGAATTTAAAAGCTCTTAAAAATATAACAGTAGTGTTAAAATGTTTTATGCTGCTCTGTGTTCAGGAAATAAATGTATTCTTTAACATTTAAAATATTTAAGCATTTATAAACTTTGATTTTGCTCAAATGCTCCATCTTAACCCATTTATTCTGGAGCTCGGGAGCGCCCTCTAGTGTTTGAGAAACCTGGAAGACATGATGGAGTGCTAATTCTCCTCTCTACAAGTCCTACTGTCAACTGTAAAAATGAACGAAACCTCGCTGTGTAGCTGAACATTGCAGGTAGCCTTTTTAGACATCACTGTCTGCAATCACAAACCACCACAGGAGCAAGAGTGCTGATTTAAAGCAGTCAGTCAGTCAGTCAGTCAGACAGACAATGACCGTCACAAATCCAGAGAGTCCAGAACCAGTCCTTTTAATTTATGACTGCTTTGTAAACACCAGCCGTGATTTTGTCTGAGGTTACTCTGTAGCAGTGAAGTTTTCATACGGTGATGTTAATCTCATCGACAAGTCTGTGCAACTTTACTGAAGACCTGAGTGGTTTGAGCCGATTAAGAGAAGTTTTCGGGATGTATTTCTGGAAAAGATTTGGGTGAATATTGACTTGTGTTTGTTAGCAATAGCCACGTTTTTAATGCAGCCTAATAATCCGTTAATAATCCGACTAACAGCTCAATCAGAATAGAATACGTCCATGTAAACACCTTAATCAGAATAGGTGGGTAATCCTGTAAATAATCCGTTGAATAGAAGAATAATATCCGTGTAAACGCCTGTATCTGATTACATTCCCTATCGGAAAGTTTAAGTCCGTTCTGATCATGTTCGTCGCGTCGTAGTGAAAGTTTATACCGTTCAACATGGCGGAGCAGAAACTGGTCTGCAGAGGAGACGAAGTTCATGCTCTGATCTTTAAAAGACGGCGGTGGGACGGACGTCCAGTTTATGTGTCTCAGAACACGACGTCTTCCTCTCGGCCTTCTTTAATAAGGACATGTGAAGGACGTTTTCCTGAGTCTGAGATCATTTTAAAGCAGTTAAAAACACAAGCGCTGCTCACTGCTGCTCATCTCACTCTGACTGGACTCACGTGATGCTCGCTGTCATGGTAACGTCTACACTAAGTCTTCATCTATGTGGCCTCACAGCTCTAATTCTAAATGAAAGAAGCACGTCTTGACTGATGGGCTACATCTGGGCTGAGTGGAAAGTTGTGTAAATTTGATTTTTTTGCCAGATTATTTCTTTTAACAGACTCCCAGAATCACACCTGGTGGATTCTTCATTCTTCTGCTTTGTGTGTGTGTGTGTGTGTGTGTGTGTGTGTGTGTCCTAACGCTGTCTGGCGTCTGCTCTCCCTTCCTCTGACAGACTCTCACAGCAGTGAGAAGAGCACTGGCTTTAGCTCCTCCCCCTGCAATCTGAAACTGTCGCTCAAATTGCCCCTCTCCCACAAACACTGCTCCTACGCCGCACACTGCCCAGAACAGGAGCTGGACGACGGTGGGTACCAAACACAGCTCCTCCTCCAACCAGCTTGTCACTCCACTTTGTCTCTGCTTATAGTCTCTATTATTTCATCTCGGCTCTTTTTATTTTGCCGTCCTGTGTCCACTTTGGGCTTTTTGTGTGTGTTTCTGGTACATCATCATTGCTACCTTCAGCTTTGCTGTTTGTGTTGTTGCTCAGTGTGTGTTTGTGGGTGTGTGTGTTGATCAGAAGGCCTAGTAAATGTACAAACCATGGTCTCCAAGTGAATCTTTATCTCTGCTCTCCTGTGGTACAGGTGAAGACAGTGGCAGCGACTGGTCCACAGACAGCCCTCTGTGGAGCGAGGAGGAGTCGGAGGCGGGGCTAGAGCTGAGCACGCCCATCTCCGAGCAGGGGGCGGAGACGGTGACCCATGACGCAGAGATCGTTCGTTGTGTGTGTGAGGTGCAAGAAGAGAACGACTTCATGATCCAGGTGGGCTCATTCCGCTGATTCTTCCCCTCTCGCTGCTCTTCTTGTTCAGCTTCTTACCTGTAGACCAGTGATCCACACAGTGTTTTCACATGGGGTTGTACTGCAGCCTTCCTCCCACAAAACATCTTCCAGTGCTAAAAATGAACGTGGACTTTGTGTTTTTATAGCTGTGGTTACTTCAAAGTTGTTAAAAACAAAACAGAGATTTAATATCATCCAATTAATGTAGTCTAATAACAATAATAGTGTACTAGCAGTAGCCTATAGGCTAAGAGGGCATTTAGATGAACTTTAAACTCTCTCCAGCGCCGTTCTTTTCATTGTCTTCTATGACGCAACCTGCATCGCAACTGGAAAGCACTCCTCTAGCCAGTGTAATGTGCTTGCTGTTTAAAAAATATTACCTTTTCCACTGAGCTGCACAAAAAAGCATCATACGTCAAAGGCAGCACACCAATCAACGTTGGATGTCTTGTTACCAACAGAGGCAAAGCTCTTTGGCTGTTGACCAACACCCCAGAGCAGTACACCACAAACTGAATGTGTTAAAAAAATAAATAAATAAAGAAAGAAAAGAAACGTGCTGCTTCACTTTTAACCCTTGTGAATCGCCAGTCTTGCTGCCGAGATCAAATCACATGAGCGCTGGGTCAGGATGTCACAGCAAAAAAAAAAAAGTCACACTGAGCTTCGCTGTCAAATTCCGTCAAAAGTGCTGGCAAATTTTTGTTTGATGTTAAAAGACCAAGTAAACACAGAGGTAGGAAAATATAAATTTCATATAAAAGTCATATTTATGCATGCATAAGGTTTGCAAAATGGGCTGGGGCTTTGCGGTTATCATTTATCTTAATATCCTCATCATTTTTTTTTTCATATGAAGAATCTATTATTTTTAAATCTGGAGTTTTTTGGGTCCAGTATGTTCATACAGTATGAAAAAATAATAGTAAGTTCGTATAGGTGATAGATGCTGAACATATGCTGGATGCTGACCTTTTCTTCCATTAACAGCTGGAATGCACTGCTCTGTAATAATAAAATACCAGCCTTGTTTAAAATATGAAAATATCTTTCCAAACTGTAAAAACATTTTTATCGTGGTCAGTTCCGCCTCTGCAGCGCCCCCTCTGGTTCAACTCGGCTGTAGGTGCGGATGACGCGTCTTGGTGCCGAAGTACAATGACACGTCTGCAAATCGGTCAACCCCCTGATGACGCCCTACTCGTGCAAGAGCCTAGTGCAAGGAGATAACCACACTCACACGCTGAGCTAAATACCCCGAGCACCACCTCACAAGGCTGCGAGATGCCAGCTGTCTGTATCAACTGTAAATAACCCAGTTAATCTGAGCTGAGTTTGTAAAAAAGATTGGTAATGGTCAACGTATGACTGGGTGACCCGGAGGACCGATTAAGTGAGGGTTCTCATTTTAAGGTGCGCGACTCACTGAACAGACATCAGCGGCAAGCAACACTGGAACTACGGAAAGAGGAAAGGTTCAGCAAAGGTTAACGTTAAATGGCCACTGTTACTGACTGCGTCAACCTCTCCTCCTGCTTTCCGTAGTTCCAGTGTTGCCGTTGATTTCTGTTCAGTGAGTGCAGCGCCGAGGGTTTGGGTTGTACAGGAGACGTGAATTTGAGGGGTGACTGAATCGGATGTAGCACCGGTAAGTGTTATGAACAGCTTGCAGAACGTAAGGATTTAGGTCCACTGCAGGAAACCCTGTCTGACCGGTGATGCAGTCTGCGACCTTGATGTCCAACAGGAAAAACATTTTATTCATTCAGAATTCAGGGCATCTAAGAAATCAGGACTTGGGTTATATCAAATATGGACCTGCTGAACAGATAATTAGAAGCTGGCTGTTGTGGTTTTAGGGAATGTTCTCCCGTTCGGCGCCTCTGTTGCTCGCTGCTGATCATTTTCCGGCACTACATTAACTCTTCAGCAGTTTGAGTCAGCGGCTCATACTGTTAAGGCTCAAGACGCACCGCCTGATCAGAAACACCTTCCCTCGGTGAAGATGGGGATGGTAGTAGAGAAAAATCGTCATCCTCGTGCCCCTCCCATTTTTGAGCATTTTTCAAATTGTGCCGGGATGGAATCAGCTGGAAATAGTGGGGTGTAGTTACTCTTTAAGCTCATCTTAAAACCTCTTCAACTCCTTGAGACCACCGGTGGTTCCAAAACACACTTCGTCATATTCTTCATAACTTCCATATTTCATAAGCTACATTCAGAAGGTGGGGGTCGTATGAGAGCTGTAACTGTCTTCTTTCCAGTCAAATAGATGGGTGATGTCATTTTAAACCCTTATAATAAAAGAAGCTGAACTCACAATTTTTTTTTCTACTGAAAGTCGACCCATTTTTCCACAAATCTGGGCTATAAACTATAAACAGATGGCGTCTCTTCAGTGATCTGCTCTGTAAACATTACTTTTATAAAAATAAAATAATACAAAGATTTTAGGCTTTTAGCAGTAAATTGTAAGCATGTAGCAATATGTGTAATCATAAAACACGTTCTGTTTATTTTAGGGGAGCTTTTACCAAAAAAATAAATAAAATAAAAATATACATTTATTTCATGCAGTTACTGAATAATTTGTCTTAGGATTTGGTCATGTAAATTCAGATGGACAAACCAAAACATACCCTGGAGAATAAGAGGTTAAGGTTGTGGTTAGAGGACAATAAGGTGAATTTAACAGATATTTCTTTCAAAGCATATTAAATTTAAGTAGGTCTAAAAGCATCTAAAGTGTTCCAAATATTTTTATATTAATCAATCTGTAATTTAATAAAATAAATCAAACTAATCTTTGACCAGATTCCACATGCACGATGAGCAGATCATAGGGAGAAAAAGGTCCTCGTGCACCTACTTGTGGAAAACCACTCTAGAGCCCAAAACAAAGCATTATTCCAAAATACTACCACAGGATCCTGCAGGCCTGCCTGACCACTTTCTCTCTCTCTCCCTGGTCTCTCTAGTGTGACGAGTGTCTCTGCTGGCAGCACGGCACATGCATGGGCCTTTACGAGGACAGTGTGCCTGACTCCTACAGCTGCTACATCTGCAGGGACCCTCCAGGTGAGCCCCCTCTAATCTCCACTCTCCACACTGCCTCAGTGGAGCCTCCTTTATTAGAAAAGTCCAGTGGAGTGTCCAGGTTGCCTTGCAGGCTGGCCATGAAATAATTTCTGCCACTTCTATCTAAAACGTCCTCTCATGAGGAGGCTGGGCTGAAAGTCTGTGTCACTTTGTGTATTTTTAGCTCAGAGACAGAGTCAGCGCTTCTGGTACGACAAAGACTGGCTGAGCAGCGGCCACATGTACGGACTGTCCTTCCTGGAAGAGAACTACTCTCACCAGAACAGTAAGAAAATGGCTGCCACACACCAGCTCCTGGGCGACGTGCACCGCGTGTTCGAGGTGCTCAACGGCCTCCAGCTCAAGATGAGCATTTTACAGTAGGTGGAAGTTCCTGTCACTGTCGCTCAAATGCATTTTGCCCCTTAAGCTGTTACCATTGTTTCCTTGACACTGATTAAGCCCAGTTTTCCCCACTGATTCACAAGCGCGAAGTTTCCTTAGGAATCTTTATTGTGGACCTCAAGGTTCATCCAGCCAAGGAGAAGAACACAATGGTATTAGCGCGTACAGATGACTGCAGTGTATAAAGGATTCCTCTGGGTTAGGCTACATAGGACAGTTAAGAGCAAAAACAAAACAAGATCATAGTAAAACTAGCTTAACGTGACCTCCTGTTTTGACCCTGTGATATTTCAAGCCAGGCAAGGCTTCAATTTTTTTGTTTACTTTTGTAAGCAATTTAATTTTGTCATCAGGCTGATCAGGCAGTGTTGGGAAGTAATTAGTTCAGGAATTTTTTTAAACTTATGTTGCTTTTTCCAGGCCTGAATTGAGTCTGGTAGTAGATTGTGTTTGTTTTAACAAGTTCATACAGAAAATACAGTTGTGTTGTTGATAAAGGCCCAACCCCATTTCTTCTTTTTACCCCTACCCCTTGTTTTCGAGTGTCTCCTTGCCCCTTGGAGTTACAGGGTAGTGGTTGAAATCCTCCCTCTGAAATGGGACCCTCAAATAAAAAGAGCATCACTTCATTAACAGCTACCAGCGCTGCTCTGTAGGCGACCCTGCCAGTCTGCAGTGACAGCAGAGGAGGGTAAAGTTCAGCTCCTCATTTAAATTTAGGGAATCATCTGCCTTCAAAAAGGGACAATTATTTGTTATTGCCCACCACTAATTCTTCAATGATATGAAGCTTAGCTCAGCTATTTACCAGCTTCTTGTTCGAATTTCTCCGTTCCACCTTAAATGGTGCAGCAGTTCTGATTCCTGAGGTGCCAGAATGTAAATGCTGCACCATTTAAGGTGGAGCGGGAAATTTAGCTAACTAACTACCAAGACATCAGCACACTTTTAGGGATTTTTTACTTGTTATGAAGAAAACGACCATAATACACTGAAACGACATTAAACCAAAGATAATACAGTGGTTATCATGATTTTTTAATGGAGAAAATATTTACATTTGTGGGTTTCTTTGGTCGCTCGCGCAGCCATCTTGCTTTTTTCTCATAACACTTTGGAGTGTGCCTCTGAAAAACCTCTATTTGAAGGGCCATGTAGCCCTAACACTTCGACACCCTACCCTTAGGTCTGAATGCACAAAACGAAGGGGTAAATGCTGAGTGGTAGGGGCATAGGGTGAAATGGGATTGGGCCAAAGTCTGCATTAAATATGACAAAACAAACCTGACTATATAAAAACAAAACTATGAAATTATTGCAGTATGTAGGCTACACACTGTGCCTGTGTAATACATTTTTCTATTTATTTTTTTTTATTTATTTATTTATTTATTATTAGCACTTTGGCATTGTCTTTTTTTTTCTACTGACACTTTGATGTCGTCTAATGTGGCCCCTTTTTTCAGCAAAAAAATCCCTGAAAATTCCTGTGCTTTCTGTAGAAAGTGACACTTTGGAGCATTTTCGGCTGAAATGTTTCGGTGCCCAAAATTTTAGTCTTTAATTTTCTTCATTGACGGAGCAGAATTGTCAGAGATGTCAGAAAAATCAGATGATAAAATGTTTTTTACAGCATACGTCGGTTCACAGATCTACAGATTCCTTTTTATGTTTAATAACATGCCTTATGATTTCAGGGTATGTATGTAACGTTCAGTGTTGGTAACCAGCATGTTCTCCGTCTCTGGTAGAGCGCAGGCCCACCCAGACTTGAAGTTGTGGCGGCAGCCCTGGAGGTCCAACGATGGCGTGCGCAGGAAATGGGCGGGTGACTATGGCATGGCCACGCCCTCCCCCTCCTCCCCTCATACTGCGGAGCTCAAGGACGATGAGCCTGAAGCACCTGCGCCAGCGGGGCCCCCCTTCTCCTTCCACACCTCCTACATTAGCAGTGAGCACTGCTACCAGAAACCACGTACGTACTACCCGGTGCTGGAGCGGCGGCTGGTGGTGGAGACGCGCGGTGGCTCGGAGCTGGAGCACAGCCTGCGCAGCAGCGAGGACCTGCTGGAGCTGGCCGAGCACCGCTACGGCGCCCCACTGGAGTACGAGCAATGCAAATTGCAGCTGGCTGACCGCACCGCCGCCAACGCTAAGGTGAGTTTCTACAATAGCAGGCCTATGGTCAGGTTCTTTTAGGGCAGTGGTCACCAGCTCTGCTCCTGGGGATCAGCATGATCCACAAGAGTTGAGCTCCAACCTTAGGCCCAGACACCTAAGACTGTAAAACTGCAGAGTAATTAATATGTTCTTTGATGCATTATAAGCTTCAAATTTGTATTTTAAGCCACTCTACCTTGTGTGAAAGTGAAAGTAAACCACTGTTAGTGGTTTACTTTTAAGCTACAGACGTGATCCACAGATCGGGACATTCAGCAGATAGCAAAAAAAGTCAGAATGCCAATTCTAAGGACTAAACCTTTGGTACTTACACCGACCACTCTCATTGTCCATTTTATCAGCTCCACTTACTATATAGGTGCACTTTGTACTTCTACAGTTAGAGACTGTAGTCCATCTGTTTCTCTGCATACTTTGTTAGCCCCCTTTTACCCTGTTCTTCAGTGGTCAGGACCCCCGTGGACCCTCACAGAGCAGGTACTATTTGGGTGGTGGGTCATTCTCAGCACTGCAGTAACACTGACGTGGTGGTGGTGTGTTAGTGTGTGTTGTGCTGGTCTGAGTGGATCAGGCACAGCAGTTCTGCTGGAGTTTTTAAACACCTCAGAGTCACTGCTGGACTGAGAATAGTCCACCAACCAAAAATATCCAGCCAACAGCGTCCTGTGGGCAGCGTCCTGTGACCACTGATGAAGGACTAGAGGATGACCAACACAAACTGTGCAGCAGCAGATGAGCTATCGTCTCTGACTTTACATCTACAAGGTGGACTGACAAGGTAGGAGTGTCTAATAGAGTGGACAGTGAGTGGACACAGTGTTTAAAAACTCCAGCAGCACTGCTGTGTCTGATCCACTCAGACCAGCGCAACACACACTAACACACCACCACCGCGTCAGTGTTACTGCAGTGCTGAGAATGATCCACCACCCAAATAGTACCTGCTCTGTGAGGGTCCATGGGGGTCCTGACCACAGAAGAACAGGGTAAAAGGGGGCCAACAAAGTATGCAGAGAAACAGATGGACTACAGTCTGTAACTGTAGAACTACAAAGTGCACCTATATAGTAAGTGGAGCTGATAAAATGGACAATGAGCGTAGAAACGAGGAGGTGCTCATCATGTTATGCTTGACCGGTACACTAGCTTTGAAAAATGAGGCTATTCTCAGTGTTTGTCTTTCTTGACAGTGTCGTTTTCTTGCATTGCTTTCGCCTCTCTTCTCTTTCTCCCTCTCTCACGGCCGGCTGCCAATGCTGATTCAACACGCCTAATTGGCCAGAAAAGCATTGATGGAAACCGGCTGGAGCCAACAGTGCCGCACTGACTACAGGCGACGGTCAGCCGGCTAAGTCCGAGGCCTTAATCCACTACGCTTGATCCTATCATTGATTGTGTTCAGAAGACCTTAATTAACTGAATGAGCTGTGTTAGCTTTGAGTTGAAAGAAGGTAGTTGAAGTTGAGTTGAGTTGAAATTTATGGCTTGAAATCCGCTTATTGTGATGATGACACGTCCAGTGTACCCTGGCCACATAGCTAACTCAGACTGACCAACTCAGACTGACCATCTTTGCTATTAGTAGGTCTTTAACACATAAGGCTTTTGGCTTGGTCACTCTTTGCTGAAACAAAGCCATTTCCAGACTTCTCACATGATGTCCACATTTCCTGGAAAGAGCAGTTTATAGCTAAATGAGTCAACTGGGGCCTCAACAGCCAGAATCTGTGGCTGTCAGACCAGTCATTTCCATGAGTTGCTGCTTCAGTCTCTGCTGTTTTGACTCCTCACATTTCTCAGATGGTCTTTATCTGTGATAGTTAATGGCAACAATGCTGTAATCAGCTCTGCTGCTGATTTAAAATCAATTTTTTGTCTTTTGGCTTAGTATTAAAGATCTGCTACCCGATCTAAGCCTGATTGGCTCCGATAAAATACTAGGTTTAGGTTATTTTTGTCATGGGCTGGAGGTTAGGGAACCAGCCCTGTGACCGGAAGGTCGCTGGTTTGATCCCCTGAGCCGACGGTACGTGGCTGAAGTGCCCTTGAGCAAGACACCTGACCCCCAACCGCTCCCTGGGCGCTGTGGATAGGGCTGCCCACCGCTCCGGGCAAGTGTGCTCACTGCCCCCTAGTGTGTGTGTTCACTAGTGTGTATGTGGTGTTTCACTGCACAGATGGGTTAAAATGCAGAGGTCAGATTTCCCCATTGTGGGACTGATAAAGGTCACTTAATCTTAATCTTAATGTGCAATGTCAGGTTCTTTTTAATTCGTGTAGTGGATTTGTACCTTTTGTTCATGCGTCTCATTTTCTCTCTTTCTGTCTTTCTCATTTCTCTCCCTCTCTCTCAGTCCCTGCAAACACGTTGGATTTGCAGTTTAATTCGGAATAGTTTCGGAGTTTGAGAGAAACTGGGAATAAGCTTAAACAGTAATCAGTCGCAATCGCACCATCAGTGATGAGGAATTTCCAGCTTGCCTGCTAAACTCACCCTGAGGCCCAATCCTGTTTCTTATTTTCATACCTACCCCTTGTTTTCGAGTGTCATCTTGCCTCTTGGAACCGAGTTACAAGCGGTAGTGGTTGAAATCTTCCCTCTGAAATGGGACCCTCAAATAAAAAGAGCATCACTTCATTAACAGCTACCAGCGCTGCTCTGTAGGCGACCCTGCCAGTCTGCAGTGACAGCAGAGGAGGGTAAAGTTCAGCTCCTCACTGCTGGGCTTTAGTTACATTTAGGGCATCATACGCCTTCAAAGAGGGGGGCAATTATTTATTATCACCCACCCCTAATTCTTCAGTGATATGAAGCTGAAGTCAGATATTCACCAGCTTCTTGTTCAGATATTCCCGTTCCACCTTAAATGGTTCAGCAGTTCTGACATCTGAACTACTGCACCATTTAAGGTGGAACAGGAAATTTAGCTACTGAGACATCAGCAAATTACTAGTGATACATTTTTTTTATGCTTGTTATGAAGAAAAGGACCATAATACAATGAAACAACGTTAAACTAAGATAATACAGTGGTTATTGTAAGTTTTTAACAGAGAAAATTCTCACATTTGTGGGTTTTTTGGTCTCTTGTTCTCCATCTTGCTGATTTTTCTTCACCAGTTTATCCTACCAACTCAAGTGCTTAATAACAAAAAGCACTGTAAAACCGTGGCTGTGACGTTCCATCTATCTTACTAATAACTAAACTAATAATCGATTATTCGGATTATGAATCATTACATTAGGAAATAACTCTTATGCAGCTCTCAGCTTTTAAATTTAGCTTGATGTTGTTTTATGCGTTTGCTATGAAAACAATGATGAATAACATTCAAGAATTCACTGTTTTAATGAACTTTCCTGCTAATACAAAAGATAAATAAACCTCCTTTATATTTTTCCTTAAATTAAAGTTAAAATTTAGAACAATGGATGTGCAAAGTAGCAGCAATAAAATATAGCAAAATTTAAATCAGTTTTCTTTCAATCAAGTGAATAGAAAAATCAAATTGCCGCGTCCCAAACCACACATTTCTGTACTTCACATACTGCACTAAGGAGTGCACTTCTAATGGTATATTTTTACACACTACTTAGTAGGGGTGGGAATCTCTAGGCACCTCACGATTCGATTCGATTACGATTCAGAGGCTGCGATGCGATTATAAAATGATTATCGATGAATTTTTTTCTATACAGCATTTCTATTTTCTCACTGTGTGAGTTCAAGTTTCGAGTTTATTTGTTATTTGCACAACGTCAGGACATTTATGCACTGAAATGCTTGTGGTGAGACTCAGATAATCACTCTACAGAAAGTAAATAAGTAAAAATAAAAATACAAGAAAAAACAACTGAAATATATTAAATATACACAGAATATGGAGACAATATACATTTTAAAGTGACTAAGTTACTCTGTGGTGTTATTTAAAGTGACTTGGTACTTTTAAACCAAAGTATTTGTAATGATCCATAATGAATTTACTTCCAATATCTCTTATTAATAAATCAAATGGAAGTGATGCGGCAAGTGAACTAGAAGGCTCTCATTCACTGGTTTGTTTGGAGCACATGAGACGCTGCTGCTACTCATCTGTGATAAAATGCGCAGTTACGGTGACATAAGATCCAGTGGTGATGGACGTCCACACAGCACACGTTACAGCTATTCTACCCGTTTAATTCAGTGATTTTATAACTTCAGTTTTGGTCTCGTTGTAGAGACGGGGGGATCGGTGTGTCAGTAAAATATCTTTGAGACGGGTCGTGTGCAACATAGCGCGAAAGCCCTGTTTCGCAACGACTGAGAACCGCCGTGCAGACTGCAGGTCACATAGCAGTGATGCGTTATTCGCATTTATAAGCAGCACAGTTGGTTTCCGTTAAATCTGCAACGAGAGACTGTCAAACACTAAACAGTTGCGAAGCTGAAGTCGCTTCTCTTTCGAATTCTCCCGTTCCACCTTAAATGGTGCCGCATTTACATTCGGCGCCGCAGTTAGAATTTAAGGTGGAACGGGTAAATTCGAACAAGAAGCTGGAGAATGAGAAGCGACTTCAGCCTCTTAAAACAGCCGAACGCTGAGAGACATTTAACTGATCTACTTCTGAGGAAGGGTTTTCTGGCGGAGATGGGAGGAAAGCGGCTGTAGCTGTGCTGAAGCTTAAAGCAGAGTAAATCTGTGTTTTCATTTATATTGTTTAGCCTAAACTAGGACATCATCACACACTGAGACATACTGGACATTAAATGTTGTGGCTCCCAAGCTGGTTTGATTTTTGTTGAAAGGACAAAATGGCTCTTCTGATCATTTGTGTTGTGACTCCTGATCTAACCTGGCTTTAATGCAGAGGGAGCCGGTCAGATTTCTCACTCATCCAGCTGTGTTTTTGTTATGTGCCGTCACAGACTGTCCGGGCGCTGCACTTCCCCACTTCCAAGTTCCGCCTTTTGCGTTCCGTCAATATTACGTTATCAGTAAAATATTTAGAAAATCGATTTTTGACATTTATGAATCGATTCAGAATCGTTCACATCCGCATCGCGATGCATCTAAGAATCGATTTTTTTTCCCACACCCCTACTGCTTAGTGAGCTAGTGTGCGGTTTGAGACGGGGCGTGTCTTGCCGAGATGTTTCCTCTTCTGATGCCAGCTAAGGTCGGCTTTACAAACAGCACAACTGACAACCGTTATTTCTCAGTTTAGCTCCACACTTTTGAGGATTTTGTTCTTGAGGCTGCCATCGCGCTGTTAAGTCTCCAGTGAGCGGTAATGTCAAAACATTCCTACTGAACGCGAGAAAGACACGTAATGACGTCACCAACTAATCGACTGCTACATCAGCTGCTGGTTAAAAATGCCAACTAATTTGGTCGACGATTTTAGTCCAATAATCGTTGCACCCCGACTCAAAGCTGAACTGAGCTTCATGTTTGAATGTTCAATTCCACCAGAAGGCAGCTGCCACACCATTTAAGGTGTAATGAAAATGTTGTACAAGAAGGCTACTGCAGCCTTGTGGGTTCGGGTCGGGTTCGGGTCTCAAATTTTGCAGCAGCATTCCGGCCTGATCAGGTCTGGCTTCCAGCTCACTGGTACAGTCAGGCTCAGGCCTCAATCCCATGCCCATGCAGACCTCTACTCCATATACAGTACATATTAGAGATGAAACAATATTAAAATTTCATATCACGATTATCATGACGGCGGCACGGTGGCGCAGTGGGTAGCGCTGTTGCCTCACAGCGAGAATGGCCTGGGTTCGATTCCCAGTCGGGCGACCGGGGTCATTTCTGTGTGGAGTTTGCCTGTTCTCCCCGTGTCTGCGTGGGTTTCCTCTGGGTACTCCGGTTTCCTCCCACAGTCCAAAAACATGCAGTCAGGCTGATTGGACATGCTAAATTGCCCCTAGGTGTGAATGTGTATGTCTGCCTATCTGCCCTGCGATGGACTGGCGACCTGTCCAGGGTGTATCCTGCCTTCCGCCCAATGACAGCTGGGATAGGCTCCAGCACCCCACCGTGACCCAGAAGGATAAGCGGTTTAGACGATGTATGTATGTATGATTATCATGACCGAAATTATCACGATTATCAGTATTATCGCGATATTGTTCAAACGCATTGAAAAGTAAAATAAATAAATAAATACTGATACACAAACTGAAACTCGTTTCACCAATTTGTATATTAACACAAATAGAATTGGCAGCAATATGCACTTTTTGTTTGCATAAACATTAAAAAATATAGTCAATACTTTTGTAGTATTACTTTTGTATTACTTACAGTATTTGTAATACTCTGTAAACAAAAGAACAGCAAATGTATTGTTATTACTGTTATTATTATTATTATTATTATTATTATTTACAATAACTAGGGATTTCCCTGCATAGAGAATTAAATCTGGACTAACTCTGAGGTGGGTCTTAATGGAAAATGACTACTTCTAAGAAGTGCTGCACTCGGGGGATTTCTGTCCGAACTGCAGCTGCAGCATTATTGTGCCGTTGTGGCGCTGAACCCTTAATCAACACAGCGCACCAGGAAAAACAGCCAAACTCACAGAGGAGCTGCGTGACGCGCTGTGAGCTGCAGACAGTGTAGAACTCACACAGCGTGTCTTCACCTGTGGAGCTGCTTCTCTAAAAGCATCTTAAAACTAAAACATAACTTAAAATTAAGGCGCATCTGAGCTGCGGCAGAAACACTCCTACAGTTTAATCTCTGAAACTCTGCTCCTCCTAAAAGCAGCACAGCGTTTACTCGCGAGGTCCCGTCTCAAAGCACACTATCTTCCCTACGTAGTGCACTTCGTAGATCATGAAATAGCAAATCCTTCACCCAAAGAGTGCAAGAAACGTTCGACTCAGTCATCTATAATCAACATTAACAACAGGTTACAAATTCCCTATTTAAAACTCAACTGCTTGTTAATGATGATCGTGTTTGAACAGTAGCGCCCTCTGTAGGGGACACTGAGTGATTTGAGACGGTGTTATTAGACAGTAAACCCTGCAAGCGAGACGAGAAAGGGGAGCTGTGCAGATTGAACCTCTGCAGCGTCTCGTTAACTCAGAGCTCATTTTGGAGACTCTGCTCCACAGAAATGTGTTAAAAGCTTTAGTTTCGATTCACAGCTGATTCACCGATATGACGCTAAAAGCTTAATTTTATATTATTAACGAACCATAAACATAAGTTAAACCACACAGATCATGACATTTCTCCTATTTTGAAGTCTCCACAGACTTCTCCATTAAAGTTAACCTTGCGTTCTCTAAAAAGTAGCGGGTGGTGGTCGCGAAGATGACACGTATGGTTGGATGTGTTGCCCCCTTTCGCCGCTATTTTCTTTCGGCCTGTTCTGCAGACAGGCTGGTCATCTTCAATTAACTTTCCTTCTGCATCCTTATAAAACACAAAACATGACCTGACATCAGACTTGGTCTTGTTAGAAGGCTGAAATATCTCCGAATCTCTGTCACCACATTCCGCCATGCTCTCCTTTCTCCCCCTCCCCCCCTCCCCCTCCCCTCTACACACACACACACACCACAGAGCTGCGTCTGAGAGATGATTCTGCCTTTGTTTGACTCTGTACAGCGAGTTTTTCACACCGGTTTTAACGATACTTTAAAGTTCAAACGGTACTACTAACCGTCATTAATTTTACCGCGGTTTACCGTGAAACCGGTAACCGTTTCATCTCTAGTACATGTTTAAGACCTTGTACTGACCTTATGGACGCAATGCTTTTGTGTTGTCAGGAGCTGGAGTGTCGCATGAAGCTGCTGGCGGCTGCTGAGAGAGAAAAGAGCTGTGTGGTCGAGGTGAAGGAGGAGGAGGAGCCTGACCCGGTCACCTGTGATCCCAAGCCTGATCCCGATCTCCTGCTGCACCAGCAGTGGCAGCTGAACCTGCTGGAGCACATTGAAGCTGTGCAGGACGAAGTCAGCCACAGGATGGACCTCATAGAGAGGGAGCTGGATGGTAAGCGCTCGGCCTCAGCACTGGCTAGTCTTTACCACATGCCGGTCTCTTTGCGGTTTGCGCAGAGTTGTCACTTTTATTTTCTTATTTTCTTATTTTCTTATTTTCACTCGCCTGCTTAGGAGGTTTTCAGTGTGGTTGGTGAATATTGACATTTTATAGCAGCTCTATAGATTAAACAGACATTAGTCACATATTCTTTACATTAGATCTGAAAGTTCGGATGTCGACCCCTTAAAAAGATCAAAGCCTGTTTGTGAATATTATTGGAACCGGTTAGCTGTATTCCCAGTTTAGCTAGTGAAGACTAAATATAATCCAGTCAGCCTACAGCCTGATAACATCAGTACATTTAGGCTGTTTCCATCTGTTGCACCGCTAAACCAGGAAATACCCAAGAAAACTACCCAAACATGTTTGATTCCATCTGTCACTCCAACTCCGGTCTCTCTCAGCGTCCTCTCAGATTCTTTATCCTCTAAACGGTGTTATTTGAGCATCTGTTACTGAAACAGACTGTACTGCGGTGGTTTCACCTGTAGGCGCATAACTACGTTGGCATTAGCGTCGCCCAGCAGGTACAACTCAAAGCACCACAGAGCAATTCTACTTTTTATCTTTCTGTCGCTTAAACACCAGTCATTCAAATTTGTGCTCTCATATATGAGCCTTTATCCTCTAAACGGGTGTTATTAAGCATCGGCTAGCTAGAACCGAGTCCGTGCTGCAGTGGGAGGCACTGTGCACTCGCGTTAGCTTAGCCTAGCAGATGGATCTAAAATCGTGCACTGCTTTCATTAATTTGGAGCAAACTGAAATTATTTTAATGCTTTCGGGGTTGAGGTAGTGCTGTAGGATGCTGTGGCACAATACCGATATAAACGTAGAACCAATCAGCGAACAGACGCTGTTACATCATCCCACCGAACGGTTCTAACTGTGCCAAAAAAAAGGGCCACAGATTAAGGAATGCTATAACTTACTGAGCTACAAAGCTTTAACCATCACTGTAAATAAATAACTAGTACATAAAATTAAGACCCCCTGAATAGACTATTAAATGAAATAAGCTTAATATAAAACCAGAGGAAAAACAATCACATCAACAGGTTCTCTGTGCTTCATTAACCACACGGCCATATCTACATAAACACCACACAAACAATACACATCACACAGACATGAGTGTGGATCACTGCGTTCCCTCCGGTATATAATCCTGTCCCACTTTCTGAGAGCAATATTCTTGAAATAGTGTAATTTTGGACAGTATCTTTCTTAAACCGCCGCTCTGTAATGGTACTGAATGCAGTCCAGCAGCGATGTTGACCTCCCCAAAATGGCAGCGCTGTTGACGTGCCTGGCTGGACCCAATGCAGCATCTCGGTACGTATATCTGGTGCAAGCCCTCAGGCCTGCAGGTCTGATTCAATGACCCTCTTTCTCTTTTTTCCAGTTTTGGAAAGCTGGCTGGACTACACAGGTGAGCTGGAGCCCCCAGATCCTCTTGCCCGTCTGCCCCAGCTGAAACACCGCATCAGACAACTACTGACAGACTTGGGAACGGTCCAGCAGATCGCACTCTGCTCCTCGTCCACATGAGGGCACCAGATCACACAGCTCTCCACGCAACGGGAGGGCTGGACATAGAGAGACTCGAAGCAAATTGAACTGAACAGATACTGTACTGGTATTGGTGAGGCACAGTTGGCCAACATGATGCTCTTATTGTGACCGCAGATCCCATGAACCAGTCCTCCGGAGGAAACTCCAGGCCAGACTAATCAAGCCATGACGGAAAGGCAGAGAGAAAGTTACTTGAAAGCTTCATAGGTTTAGAGATTTGAATGTATTTGAGGGTTGTGTTCCATATTCAGGCACCAATTACTCACTTAGTTTAGTATTTCTTGCTTTTTGGAGAAGAACGCATCTTAAAACGGGGGCTAATGACATTATGACATTAAATGCAAGGGTTTTTTTTTTTATTTGGCACTTACAGTTATCAGCGTATACAGTTCTGTTTGGTTGGTTGAATTTCTCCATCTACTTTGCTGACATTATGCAAAATGACCTTGTTGATGTTCATCTAACTCTTCAGAATGGGGTTTGAAATCCTGAGGATACTGTGGCTCCAGACAAAGAGAGTTTGAGGCAGTGACGATGGTTTTGTAGCCGTTTAAAAAAAAAAATACACATGAAAATGTTAATATGAAAATATATTTTAATCTGAAAAGTAATTGCATCTTACTTCTATATTTGTACTAAATAGACAATGTAAATTGCCTAGCGTGTCATCTTTAATCCATGTTCCAGACCGTTTTCGCTTGTTATTTTTTTTTTTTGCTATTTGATCTAAACTGCAATGTTATTAACTGTGACTATGAGTCTGCATTCATATTAATAGTGATAGACGATTTATCCTTAATCTCTTGTGAATACTGTAGTACCGTCGTTCCTTTCGTGTCCTTTTCGCCCCGATTTTGACAAGAATTGTTGTTTCTTGTGTTTCCTGTGAATGCAAATATTTTTACTGGTGTATTTAACAAGCACAAAAGGTTTTGAGATTTTTCATATTACATTATTAAGAATGTTTAATGTTCTTTTTTCCCTGTTATAGACACTTAAAACTTCGTGTTGTCGTTTCTGTTTTCTTAAGCAGATCCAAATGGATATTTTTGTTTCCGTACTTATTGAAGGCACTAGATGCCTTTTTAATTTATTGTAATTGAGAATTTAAGTTATTGATCCTGCTGTCTTTTTTTCATTCATTCTTTCTTGCTTTTAATCACAGTTGCTCTACTTTTTTTGTAGTGCAGTAGTGGGTGGGGTGTGTGTGTGTGTGTGTGTGTGTGTGTGTGTGTGTGTGTGTGTGTGTGTGTGTGTGTGTGTGTGTGTGTGGGCTGAGTTGTTGGCCAGTGTTACGGTCATGATGAGAGAGCGCGTCTGTGTCGGGGAGCAGATGGCCCCACAGTGTGTGGTCAGAAAGGTAGAGAGAGTAGTACAGTTCATTCTCTCTCTCTCTCTCTCTCTCTCACTCACTCTCTCACTTTCTCACTCTCACTCTCTCTTTCTCTCTCTCTCTCTCTCTCTCTCTCTCTCTCTCTCTCTCTCTCTCTTTCTTTCTCTTTCTTTCTTTCTCTCTCTCTCTCTCTCTCTTTCTCTCTCTCTCTCTCTCTCTCTCTCTCTCCCCCATCGGTTATTTGTGTTTTTTGTTTTTCTTTTTTTCCCTCCATAGTATTTCATTCGAACACAGCCTGTGCCTGGCATCGTTCTTCTGTTCTTCAGACCAACATATTCAAAAGTGTACCTCCTCCGAAAAACTCTGGTTTTCAAATACACGTATGGCTTTGTGAAAAAGGGCAGACGTCGTTTTTAATTGTTTGTTTTTGTTTATTTTCCATTTTTCTTTGTGCAGCCAGTAAACGTCTGTCCTCTGTACTTTTCACTTTGCTGTGAACTGTGTTGCATGTCTGCCCTTTTGCATTAATAGTCAAATACAATAATCCTTCAAGAACTTGTTTTTGTTTTTTCTTATTTTGATAAAGTAAGTCGTTCTGACTTCTGCAGTGAATATCCCTTCATCTCCAAGTATCCAGGGAAACTGGAGAAATTCTTTGTTATGAATATTAATACAAACCTGAAGCCAAGAAAATAAATATGTACTGACTGTAAGTTCAGCTTCCATCGATCTGTTTTCTTTAAATGTATTTATTCATTTATTTTTTTTTGCAGGGGTTTTATATCTGTATCACACATCAGGCATAACATTATGACCACCTCCTTGTTTCTACGCTCAGTGTCCATTTTATCAGCTCCACTTACTATATAGGTGCACTTTGTAGTTCTACAGTTACAGACTGTAGTCCATCTGTTTCTCTGATACTTTGTTAGCCCCCTTTTACCCTGTTCTTCAGTGGTCAGGACCCCCATGGACCCTCACAGAGCAGGTCCTATTTGGGTGGTGGATCATTCTCAGCACTGCAGTAACACTGACGTGGTGGTGTGTTAGTGTGTGTTGTGCTGGTACGAGTGGATCAGACACAGCAGTGCTGCTGGAGTTTTTAAACACAGTGTCCACTCACTGTCCACTCTATTAGACACTCCTACCTTGTCAGTCCACCTTGTAGATGTAAAGTCAGAGACGATAGCTCATCTGCTGCTGCACAGTTTGTGTTGGTCATCCTCTAGTCCTTCATCAGTGGTCACAGGACGCTGTTGGCTGGATATTTTTGGTTGGTGGACTATTCTCAGTCCAGCAGTGACACTGAGGTGTTTAAAAACTCCAGCAGCACTGCTGTGTCTGATCCACTCAGACCAGCACAACACACACTAACACACCACCACCACGTCAGTGTTACTGCAGTGCTGAGAATGACCCACCTCCCAAATAGTACCTGCTCTGTGAGGGTCCATGGGGGTCCTGACCACTGAAGAACAGGGTAAAAGGGGGCTAACAAAGTATGCAGAGAAACAGATGGACTACAGTCTGTAACTGTAGAACTAAAAATGGACAATGAGCGTAGAAACAAGGAGGTGGTCATAATGTTATGCCTGACCGGTGTGTGTGTGTGTGTGTGTATATGTATATATATATACATGGGCATTTTAGTCATATTAGACTTAACATACTACCAGCTTGCCTATAGAATGATAACCTGCACAGTTTACACTGTGCATATTTGTTATGTCTGAAATATTTCCATATATTGCTTCACTTAGATTTGACCACATCAATGACTTTATGAGAAACAATGTCAGCTGTTTTTGTCCTCACCTTTTTTTGTGGTTCTAGACTTAAAAAGGTTCAAAAAACATTATAGTGCAGGATTTATTCCATCATTTTTATTTCAAGGCATTTTATTCTGACTTTTTTAAGTATATATACACATAAAAGCAGACAGTTAGGTCCCCTATAATCAATTTTGGTGGTAAGTTAAAGTCGTCTTGCTGAAATTGTTTCTTTTGTCTTTAATTATATGACTTTAAAAAGATAAATGACCCAAAAGTACCTCACAGTAACCTGATCGTCACTTTTATATACTAACCCTTTGGATTATGTAGGTTATCAATAATCAGGAATACATTTTTAAACCATTTGTCTCTTGAATGTGTCTGCAGTGTCAGTATGAAAGGGGAATTCCACTAAATTTTCAAAATTTGTGCAAAATGAAAACATTGAGATGTGAACCGAGTCCTTCAGAGTGGTTTGGTGTGAAATGGTTAATTGTGGATTCATTTACTGAATCAGATTTCTTAATGGTGGTGGTGATAGGAACCAGGGGTTGTGATATCCAGGACACATATATAGACATTTTATTTACTATCCAAAACAGCCAGTGAACCTCCACGTGTCCTCTCAGTCTTATATGTAATATTGTTAATAGTAAAATAGTGTTAAATATAAAAAAAACTTTTTTGGGACTGTTTAGCCTTAAAACACCCTGCATGTTTCTCTCCACCATGAATGTATTTTGCATAAAAAGCATAAAAATAATGTTTTTTGTGTTTTATGTGTTTTACATTGTAATTACTTTCTGTGATGGAGCTTTTAGAGGCATTAAACTCTTCAGACGTCTGTTTCCCATCAAAACTCTTGTGCATAGTTCTGACTCTACAACTGAGCTTTTCACATCAAACCACTTTGAATGACTTTGTTTACATCTTAACCATTTAATTATGCAGAAATTTCGAAGTTTCGAGTTCCCCTTAAACTATAACTGTTGTAACATTTCTCCAGGGTATGTTTTGGTTTGTCCATCTGAATTTACATGACCAAATCGCAAGTCAAATTATTCAGTAACTGCGTGAAATAAATGTCCATTTTTATTTTATTTTATTTATTTATTTATTTTGTAAAAGCTCCCCTCAGATCAACAGAAAATGTTTTATGATCATACGCATATTGCTATATGCTTACAATTTACTGCTGAAAGCCAAAAATCTTAGACGCTCTTTGTATTATTTTATAAAAATAATGTTTACAGAGCAGATCACTGAAGAGACGCCATCTGTTTATAGTTTATAGCCCAGATTTGTGGAAAAATGGGTCGACTTTCAGTAGAACAAAAAAATTGAGTTCAGCTTCTTTTATTATAAGGGTTTAAAATGACATCACCCATCTATTTGACTGGAAAGAAGACAGTTACAGCTCTCATACGACCCCCACCTTTTGAATGCAGCTTATGAAATATGAAAGTTATGAAGATTATGATGAAGTGCGTGTTGGAACCACCGATGGTCTCAAGGAGTTGAAGAGGTTAAAGATCTTTGTAGACCTCATTGACCTCAGTGTGATAAGCAGCGCTTGTATTGTACTGCAACATGACATGCTGCGTGAAGTCCCTTCGCTAGTGATGACCGACCCGTGAACGAATCCTTCGTTTGAATCGGTTCTGAATCGGTCGAGCCGAACTCCAACTGAATCGAACGGTTTTTGTACACATCTGTTAAAGGCTGGACATTTCTAATAAAATACACATAACAATCTTCACAGCTTCATCATAATATAGAATAACATCCCCCGTAAAATAGATAAAGTAATATATGTTTATAATACAAAATAACATCACTTTCCACGACCCGAGCTGGATCAAGCGGTTTAAGTAGATGAATGAATAAAGGAATAATATACTATAATATAATATATAATAACAGTGCAGGATTTTTAAACTACTACAAGTCTATATATGCGGTATAAGTAATACACGGATATTATATAGAGGCAAAAATATCAATTATTATAGATTTACAGCACCATTTAAATAGATTCTGTTTGCTATAGATCATGTTTGTGTAGGATACAACTGGAATTCGCTTACATTATACACTTTGCATTTCAATAGTGTTTCTACAGAGCCCTGATGATGACAGCCTGTATAAATAAAAAGATAGATAGACAGATAGATAGATAGATAGACAGATAGATAGATAGATAGACAGATAGATAGACAGACAGACAGACAGATAGATAGATAGATAGATAGATAGATAGATAGATAGACAGATAGATAGACAGACAGATAGATAGATAGACAGACAGATAGATAGATAGATAGACAGACAGATAGATAGATAGATAGACAGACAGATAGACAGATAGACAGATAGATAGATAGATAGACAGACAGACAGACAGATAGATAGATAGATAGACAGACAGATAGACAGATAGATAGATAGACAGACAGATAGACAGACAGATAGATAGATAGATAGACAGACAGATAGACTTACTAAGTCGTGGCCACGACTTAGTAAGGCATGATCTCGTTCCCACGCCTTACTAACAGCGTACCCCCTATCGTGAATTTTGCGCATCTGGACACTCCACACTCCCCTACGGAGCCCTGCTGGTGACATCTTGTATAAACAAAAATAATGCGTGGGAATGAGATGATTAAGGCGTGGGAATAAGATGATTAAGTTGCGGCCATGAGTTAGTAAAGTGTGGGAACGAGATCCTAATGCGTGGCCACGACTTAGTAAGCCGTGATCTCGTTCCCACGCCTTACTAAGTCATGACCACGACTTAATCATCTCATTCCCACGCCTTACTAAGTCGTGGACACACATTAGGATCTTGTTCCCACGTGTTAATAAGGCGTGGCCACGCATTATTTTTATTTATACAAGATGTCACCAGTGGGGCTTCGTAGTGTGGAGTGTCCAGATGTGCAAAATTCGTGATGGGGGGGTACGCTGTTAGTAAGGCGTGGGAACGAGATCACGGCTTACCAAGTCGTGGCCACGCATTAGGATCTCGTTCCCACGCTTTATGAAGTGGATGGGCCCCGTATGTTTCGATTAGCAGGCTCATATGAGACTTTTGAAGCGACCGAATAGGTGAATCGGACGTTCGATTCATTACACCGGGCAGTTCCATCGGAATCACGAATCGGCTCCGTGAAGTGAATCGAACCGCTCGTCACTATCGTTACCGCTGGCTGTGTAGCTCCGCCTCTTCCCACTGAGAGCGAGCGGAGCCGGAGAGCAGAAGCTCAGAAGCTCCTTCAACTCGGCTGGATACGCGCTTCTCCCTCAGCGCTCGGTCTCTACTCCTGTTTTCACCAACTGTAAGTATTTTCACTGCCTTTTTTTAGTAAACGAGAGAACTTCTCACACATTTCCAGTCCTTATTAGACAACATGTGAACGTTTCACGAGAGCGTGCTGCCGAACTGCGGTACGAGGTTAGCTAACCTAGCTAACCGTTAGCCAGCTACCTAGATAACCGAACAGATGTCATCTAAGCAGCTAACGGTAACCGTTTAATCGAGTCAGGTTGGCCGGTTATCATGTTGACATCGGCACCTTAATAATCGTCTGAGTCGAGGTGTGTCAGCCGTAGGTCCGGTTATAAGCACCCTCGTGAAGTCTACATGTGGAGCAGTGAATCTCTGCCTCATCTAACGAGCAGCACGGACTAGCTAACCTAGCCAGACTGCCGCAGCTGGAATTAGGCGAGAATGCGGTTTGTTGTTGTTGTTGTTGTTGAGACATTTTTATTGAATCAAACATCTCCAGGCATCTTTAATGGACCTCAAAAACCTTGCAGAGACTTCCTCAGGTAAATCTGACTCAACACGACGTCCAAGGACGTGTAGTTTTTACAGTTTTGGTCCCAAAAGTGACCTGAACTGTGAGAGGCAGGAGACTCGGATTCCTATCTTCAGCTGATGCTTTTCCCCAGCGTGGTTTAAAGCTTTACCTCTTATTGACCAGGGTGTATTTTGGTTTGTCCGTCTGAATTTACATGACCGAATTGTAGGGCAAAATATTCAGTAAATGCATGAAATAAATGTAAATTTTTATTTTATTTATTTATTTATTTTGTAAAAGCTCCCCTCAAATGAACAGAACGTGTGTTTTATGATCACACATATCGCTATATGCTTACAATTTACTGCTGAAAGCCAAAAATCTTAGACACTCTTTGTATTTTTTTATAAAAATGATTTTTACAGAGCAGATCACCGAAGAGACGCCATCTGTTTATAGTTTATAGCCCAGATTTGTGGAAAAATGGGTCGACTTTCAGTAGACAAAAATTGTGAGTTCAGCTTCTTTTATTATAAGGGTTTAAAATGACATCACCCATCTATTTGACTGGAAAGAAGACAGTTACAGCTCTCATACGACCCCCACCTTTAGAAAGTAGCTTATAAAATATGAAAGTTATGAAGAATATCACGAAGTGCGTTTTGGAACCACCGGTGGTCTCGAGGAGTTAAAGAGGTTAATTAATATGGTTTAATTAAAAGATTGTAATACACAGAGCATTATTACTCTGATATGATCTTCAGGGGTTTACATGGTGAATATTTGCCGCTCTTTTGGCTTGGCTTTGCAGTGGTTGACCATTTTTAGAGAACATTTAGAGCTTTGTTGGTCGCATCCAAGTGCATTATCTGTACACGTGTTTGATAACAGTGCTCCTAACCCAGTTTCCCAAAATACTAAGTGAGGGAATCAACAAAGCGCCAGCAAAGCCATCTGATCAGTGACAGTGGTTTTGGAGTCCAGATGGCCTCATACGTAAGCTAACCTCTCGGCAATCCCTCAACGGGACATGCTTCAGGGTCATGTAAAGGCAGCTGCAATGCCTGGGCAGAAGGCGTAGAATTACAAAAACAAATGGTCATTGAGACCGGACGGCCTACTTCTTTGTCCGAAGGACTCCCACACTTCTTTATTGCTTTATTGGCTCAAGTAAAGCATGTTTTATACTTGATTGCTCTGCTGTCACTACTAGAACCGCTGAGCTGCAAAGCGTCTTTGATATGGATGTGGTACAGATTAGTCGACTCTTTGGGGCTGAGACGGAGCAGGGATTGGCGGAAGGAGGTGTCACTGGCCATTGATCTTTACGAGACCTGTGAGTCACAAAGGTCAGGCCTGCCTCACCCAGTCTTGCAGTGAAGGCCCTGGAAACACACTGTATTGTGCACTGTATTGTATTGCTCTCACTGACGGAAATCCAGGTGCACTTAATACAAAAATGGGGGCAAAATATCCAAAATAACATTCTTAACCTAAAGCTGCGCCAAGTTAAAAACGAAGATGTGATGACGATACTAGAAAATTCACTTGCGTGATGGATGCTTTGTATCTAGGTAAGTTATATCATTCCTTAATCCGTGTAGATATTCATAATGGATTAACGTTAGAACCTTCTTACACGAACCTGAAGTCAGATTCTTATTTGCCAGCATCTTGTTCGAATTTTCCCGTTCCACCTTAAATGGTGGAGCTGTCACTTTCTGGTGCCTGAAGCTGCTCCATTTAAGGTGGAACAGGAAAACTCGAACACGTAGTTGGTGAATAGGAAGCCAACTTCAGCTTCGTCCTTCTTACTGCGTTTTGGGGGTTTATTTTATTTTTATGTGTATTAAGATTATAAGTGATTCACACAGTGATGGATTTGCTGATGTGTCTGATTGTGTTTCTCGCACTAAACTCGGTTTTTAATGTCAGGTGCAGACTGAATACTTTCCCGCTGGTCTGGACGGCGAATTATCACCATCAGTTATTAAAGTAATAAAAGCTACCGAGAGCAGATCCGTGCAGCCCAGATTAATCTGTGTCTGAGGATTATAACAAAACAATTGTGGTGAAAATCGGTTGAGTAATAAGGAAGTTGTGGCTGATTTAATCCTGAGACTCTTCGTCTCTCAATACAAGTGAATCTGTTCACAAGCGGATCTTGACCTCTCCAACATGGCGGACGCGCAGACGTATCGGCTCAGATAGAGAACAACAGACAACACGGCATCTAGGAATGGATATCTATGGTTCAGGCTGTGATTTTGATTTTATTTTTTATTTTTTCGTTTATTACAGCTGGAGATGCTTCTCTCTGTCGGCTCTTTGCTCCCTAAAACAAAACGAAACATTAGCGTAAGTTTTTCTTCAGACCACATCGGCTTTTTTAACATCTGTATCTTTAGCTATTCGACTCAGTTTAAACCCAGTACTTACATTTAAAGTGTCTACTCAGTCGCCGTTCGCTCTTCTGCTGACGTCGCCATGTTCTCGAATCTTCGGCGACACGCAGTGAACCTCGGGATATGCTGGCTGGCGAAGGATCCACCCGTTGGATCCTCCGTTGCCATGGAAAAGAAGGACGCATTTCTCGGTCGCATATGAAGGAGCCTTCGAAATGGGACAGCCTAGTCGCGCCACTGTGATGCAGTCGGCCTTCAAATGCAGCCTCCGAAGGACGCAGCCCCTGAATTGGGACACAGCTAACCTTTCATACTTATACATTAAATGTATACATTTGTTTGTTAATTTCTTACATTTCTAATGTTATTTTGGGGCATTTTTGCCTGTACTTATTTTTACAGAGCAAAAACATTGAATATAATGTCATTTTTTCTCTGTTATCTTCTGTTATTTCTTGAACTCTGTTTGAACTGGATTAGTTTTACCTGGGGAGGCCTGGTAATGTAATCTGTATGATTCGACTGGTCGATTCTTACGGGATAAAGGATCTGTTTAATTTCCCCAAATTACTCCAAATAGCCCGGATCGAATTGTCGTTGTGCGTGCGTTCCCATCAGAGTTATATGTGATGTTGTCATGAACTTGGAGATTAAGGAATTGGGTCAGGTCAAGCTCTATCTAACGGCTTGCCTTGTCTTTAAAGGCCAGCTCCACCAATTTTCCAAACTTCCTGCACGATTGAATGGTTAAGATGTAAACAAAGTCAGTCAGAGTGGTTCGTTGTGAAGTGCTCGATTACAGAGTCAGAACTGTTCACGGCGGTGGTGATAGGAACCAGACGTCCACCTCTAAAAGCTCCCTCACAGAAAGTTACTACATGAAATGGTTATGGATTCTCAGCCTGATGTCTGAGACATACGGTAGTTGTGTGACAATGTTTTGGTCTAAAATGTGTTTTAAATCGATGTATTTTAATCCGTTCATGGTGGATGGATACATGAAGGATGTTCTAAGGCAAAAATAGCCCACAAAGAACTCATTTTTTTCAGACTGACCATTATTTTACCATCATCAGCAAAAGACATCGGGACCCTCGGGTTCTTATCACTACCACACTGTAAAGAAATCACTCTGAATGAATGGTTTGTGTCATAACCACTGAATTAGGGTGATATTTCAAAAAATCGGTGGAAAAAATAAATAAAATATAAATAGAGATGCTGTTTTCTTTTACCAGGTTTTGTTATTACATTACTCTGAACAGGATTACTGTTACTGAGGGGCTCCAGGTTCGGTGAAATATAGTAGGAAATACGCTCTGGACTCATTACTTAGCAGAACTGTAAAAACTACGGACACGGCGGATTAAAATTACAGGCCTCCTCAGTAATCACTCACATTACCGCACCTCCCCAGGTAAAACTAATCCAGCTCAAATAGGGCTTTGTGCCACTACGGGGAGATTATTGTGGGATGAGAGGATGTCCGAAGTGCGCCATGTTACATGTTCCTTTTATGTGTGTATTAAAAACTGTGTTCACACCTTGAAATCCGTGTCAGTTTCCGATGGTCCTGCACCTGAGCTTATTACACTTTAAAAGCAGGTCAGGTGGTTTGGGCACGTAAAAGAGTTCCCGAAAGTAGGACTGTGTTGTAAGGGAGGACCTGGTGCTTCTGCTGCGCCAGACTTAACCTTTCAAGCACGGATTAATCCAGTATTAAGCAGGAGATGGCAGAATTCCAGCTAGTGTTGTTGTAGTTATTGTGTTTTTTACCATGAATAAACCCTTAGTTAGTGGAATATTATGCCATACACACTGTTACACTCTCATATTTTGATTTACGGAAGTCTTTTATCGACATTATGACGTTATAATGACATGAAATAACTGTCCCAAGTGTGGTTACAAATTAAAAAGGATTTCTACTGATTTTTTTTAAGCCTTAGTTCAGTTGTTAAGATGTAAACATTCAGAGCGATTTGATTTGAAATGCTCTGTTCTAGAGAAACCTACAGAGTAAGAATTGTTCACAGTATTGATGATAGAAACCAGACAATCTCGAGTGTTTAATACCTTTAAAAATACATCACAGAAAGATATTTCATTAAATGGTTATGAAAACATAGT